CTTCGTTGTTATAATGACGTCGGAGGCAACTACAATCTATAGATTTAGCAGATTTTCTTCCTTTTAAACCTGACGTATTAAAACCTTTTCGGGTTTTATTGTCTTCAGCTATTGTGATGAACACGCAATGCAAGCTGTTTGTTCTTTTTCCCCTTTAGCATTCATTTGTGCGTGACGATGCCTGTCACCCAACCCGGAGTCGCCGATGAGTTTATTAAAGATGTCAAAGAAGCCGCCGAAAAGATATTAAAGAGCCCGAAAAAGAAAACGACTGGAGGGGTAAAGTATATTTTAGTAAAATATTATTGCTTTGCAGTTCGCTCTTTAGTGTATCAAAACAACTTCGATGTAAGTTGCAACTCGAAGTTTTTCGTTCGAAGGTTTGTAAGGCATTGTTTACACTGTCAAAGTTCATGTGTTAATTCACAGTTAGAAATTTTCTTTGGTAAATCCCAAAATATTTTAGTTCTTAATATTTTGCATTGAGTACATCACGATAAATTAACTACCCATCGTTAACCACGCGCTGTTTTAGTTTCCTAGAATATTTTTTACCAATTACTTTGAAACTTAGGATTTGAAAACGCGAACTGTGGTCACAGAGTTTGATGTAAACCGGGCCTAGCTTAAACATTGTTCTATTTTGTAATCAAAATTCATGATAAGAATGTATAGTAATAGACCTGGTTCAACACTGCCAAATTTTCTGCGATCACAAGTGGCATTTTTAAACGTCAATTCCTAAGTTTCAAAGTGCTGTGTCAAAAAAAGCTGACTGTACATCTGTTTTTTGTGTATACGACTACATTCAGTCACAATATTCTCCATTTGTATCGATGTATAGGGAATTTTGTATAATGTGACGTATCGTGTATTGTTAGGGAGCTATTTATGGTATGGCGCAGCAGATTCCAGACCGTTCTATGGTTGCCGAATTGGCTTGCAGTTTTATTGATAACCTGTATGCGACGGAGAAACCACCGCAGCTCGTTAAAAATGGACACGCCAAGCAGTAGAGTATATTGTATATTTCCAATCATCTCCCAGTTTTAATATATATAATGAACTATTTCTAAGTCCAACAGTCGCATTTTAAGAAGAATTAATATCTTGTTAGGAATCATGACGAACCTCAGCAGTAGCGTGCAGGTTTTGAAAAAAGTTGCTCAATTGGAATAATTGTTAAAAAAAAATTATTTTCTTTTCTATTAAATTGTCTAAATTAAAGTGTAATAGAACTTTTTTACTTACACGTCTTTCTGTGAATAAAATTGTCATGCAAGAAAATGGCTCTGATTAGACGATGACATGCTCACTCCCAAGGATCTAGAGCAATCGATTTTCAGAAATATTCTATGTCCATAAAATTGAATTCTGCTGCAACAGATAACTGTACAGAAATAATTAGGTTCCAAAGGATTAAATTTGAAAAATGTTTCCAGCTTTGGCCACTCAATAGATGGGCACTCGTACGAATGCGATGCCAAAGTCTCTCAATATCAATCAACCAATAGCTTTGTTAGTATTTCATATAAAATCTAGTTTAAAAGGAACAAAATTATACTACTAGCACTGATGGCCGACTGTTTAAGGCACAAGAATGGTGGTATAGTGGTTAAGACGTTGGTCTCTTAATCCAAGGACAAATGTTTGACTTTTCACATACACGTTTGACATATCTGACTTTTTTATTTTACTGCAAAGCTGCAGTTTTAATGGCACTCTTGCCAATTTGTGTTTACAAGCTACATGCACCTACGCTGAACAATTGCATCGAATTGCAGAAAGGCAACAGGAACATATGTCTATACTCTATACTAAGACAGCTCGTCTATAATAAGAGCTAAAATTAATATAGGTTTAAAATTTTTGAAATGCTATACATCGCGCAATTATTTGAGCCGGCTGGGCTATATGAACTCATTAAAAACTACCTTAATGGGCTAATGGAAAAATATGAAAATATCATAGGAACCGGTATATATAGTGCTCAAAATTGTCGTTTCCCACACTGAGTAACCAATTATTATGCCTTAATATTATAAGAGATGGGATTTCTAAACACTTGCCACATGCTATCATGTCCTTCTCGACATGCATTTATCTACGCGTTTCTGTATAAACTGATTTAAAAATGAAAATATGCATGTATATATACAAGTAGCAGATGTACAATTAGTTATTCTTCGCAAAATAATGTATACATTCTCATTGCGTTTTTCGTCTCCTCGTTTCCTAACCGATCGTATCGCTATGTTTAAAAAAATAGGGGTGATTCACCCTTGTAAGGCAGTTAAAGCTACATGTATACAAACTATATTCATGTATTTCCATTATAGGCAAAAAGCACCTTAGCCTACATGCGACTTATGGGAAATGAATAAATTTTTCCCTCCGAAACACTCCGGCCTACTAATATATGCTATAGCTGCAGTGCGCACATGCATTTTTTAACTAAAAAATTAGAATGCATTATTCCCCTCCAGCTGATCTGAGTATAAAGCTCAACCAATCAGAAGCCAGATCTTCGACAAAACTGAATTATCATTTCCTTCATTGCATATGACTTCGACACTCGAATATATCAAGTAATTATTTATGTCAAAACACGTTTATTTTTTCCCAACTGTAAATTAGAATTTAAATTTTTTACCCTTTATACTATTAGTTGGAAGAATAGGGACAAATAACACCAGGAACGTGATAACTAAGTTTTGTCGAGACGCTTAACGACGTCATTATCTCAGATCAGCTGGCTGCTCTAATTGAGATTGGTTGACTAACTTAATAGACCTTTTTCATAATGGCGTCAAACGCGGAAAGTCTGATGTTACACGAAGTTTGATTGGCTCGATAGTTTTGTGGAGCCAATTAAATTTCGTTTAACATCAGACTTTCCGCGTTTGACGTCATTATAAGAAAGGTCTATAGGGTCAATTAGTTGTGGATGAAAATATCGTTAGACCAGGTTGTGTTTATTTACATTATAGTCTTTTTTCAGTAGCCAATCATAATGCTTTGTATTTAAGAGATGGGATTTTTAAACACTTTTTTCTCCATTTGCATTTGTCGGGACACCTTATTGAATGACAAACGAGATCCAGTGAAAAAAGCATACTTTATACGCAGCACTCTGGTGCCCGGCGGTCCTGTTAGAGAATAAACATAACATAACCTACAAGTAAGTTACCTATATACGCGTATACAATAATCTAAATGAGTGAAATCTTCAGTCGTGTTTTCGCATCGGTTCTGCTCAGAGAAACAACGCTGCATGCATGTCAATGCAGGGTCTGCTAATCTGAAAGTTAGCGTGTTTCTGATATTTCTAAACACGAATATATATATAGATAGAAAGGCAAAAATGTTCTCCGTGTTTACCATACTTACCCTTGACGGGCATATTCAAACCTAAGAATGTAAATTTGTCCCTTTCCCTCACCAGATCACTCATTATACGAGTGCCTAGGCCTTGGGACCCTAAGATACTCACGGAGGAAAGCTTTTATTTAAAGAACGTGTAGCGAACGAGCATAAATAAAACCGAAGTTAGCTGCATGGCACACTTTAGACCTGACGAGAGAGCACTCGCTAGAGTGCTGTCGTAACAAACATATCAAACTCTTTCCCTATTGAGATGAACATTTGCTCAAACTAGTGTCCAGTTTTTTTCTTTTACAAAATGCGCGCCTTGTAAAACAATATGGTGTCTAGACCAAAGCGCACATTATGCAAACCTCAACGTTTTGTCCACGAATTTGCGGTTCGATGTGGAAAAAAATCATTTAAACGGGAGGCGAAAGACAATAACCTCTACGAGGTTGAGATTAAAGTGTTGATCAAAAAATAAACGTGTTCGTACGCATTTTAAAGGATACGATTCGCGTTTTGATGAATGGCGACCCTATGGGCTATGGCAAAGATAATATATTTCCCGTTTCTTCAGTATGAAAAGCCTCGTGTTTTGGCCGCCGCGCCAATATAGACGATAGAGCCGATAATAACAATAACAATAAAACCTTTTGATTAAAATTCGCCCTTACACGCGCAGGTAGCCGATGTGAACGATATTAATGTCCCTTATTCCAGCATATTATATATATACACAATATATCAATAAGAAAATCACTGTAGCAGCGTAGGCTATTGCCGACGCTATTTACAGTATATACTTAGACAGCATTTGTCAGGCTTAAAATTTGTCAGAATATACACAACTGTGGTATTAAACAGTACTATATTAAAGCATACAAGGAAAATATAAAATTCCCTTGCCTGCTTATCTCGTAAGTAAACGGCGGGCCTCCATTCTGATTGTGTTCACATCACCAACAGCAGAGACTGCATTAATGCGTGAACAACATATGTAAATGCCGACCAATGTCGCAAAATACCTACAGTTCATGGCCATCGGTCCGAAGCTAATTCACGTTGGTCGTTGAATATGTACGAAATTCATATCAAAATACGCGCCAAAACATGTAGATTTCAATTCCGAATGTAAGGAAAAGAAATATTGTATAGTGGAAGCAGTACGAGAAGTTTTCCCGCAACTTCCGCTCTAAACGGCGATTTTTGACCAATATTCTTATACAGCCCGCAACATTCAACCCCCAAAGTCCGACTCCGGGATACGAGGAATCTTTACCAAAAACAATAAAGAATGTGCGGCATAGGTCTAAATTTAATAATCGGTGTGTAAGTGAAAGATAGCTTCAGTTTCTAAGGCACACGAACAGAAAAAGCGCTTATTTTGGACGAGTTTGTATTGCGCACTGCTGGGGGTATCCTCGCTTGTAACGCGATATAGACTATTTGTATAGCGAGAGTTTGATATGTTTGTAGTTTTTCATGTGTAAATTTTTTATGTGTAAATTTTTTATGTGTAAATGTGTAATATAGGCGTTTTGTCATTTCGGCGATTTATATATTTATATTTAAACATTTTTTATGCATTTAGAAACGAAATTGCTGTCTGCTGTTGTCATGAATTACCGTAGAATTCTGTCTGTCTTTCTGCTGTTGCACTATACAAGCAGATCTGTATTTCCTTGGTTTCACACGCTGTATTCCGATTGACCTTGTCAGGCAAGTGTTGCAGTCGTAATATTAAAATTCATTATACATCTATATTAAGAGCTAGTTACTTGTTCCCTTTTTTTCTACAAGGCTTAAAATTGCTTGGTTAGCTCGTTTTAATTAGTTTATCTCCATTTCCAGTTAAACTGCATGACATTTTCATTGTTCAAAAAATTTACCTGCAAATAAAAGCATAATTTATCCTTTTCAATTTAATTCAGTGTGCATAAGGTTTAACAGGAAATTTAGCGAAGCAATTTGAACACAACTAATTTACAGCAAAAAACATCATGCCGTGAGCAACAGCTGCAATGCGCGCACCCAGAGGAATCGTTCAATCGTTGCCTGCGTCAGTGGCGTAACTAGAACGATGATTGGGGGGCGATAACAGACGTTCTTCAATATGTTCCTTATTTTAAATTTGCCGCAGGTCATCGCCTGGGTGGAAATGTCATCAATGAGTTTGACACACATGATGTTTTGGAATGTTGTCTACACTGTCTCAAAAAATCATCTGTGTGCAAATCAGTCAATTTTAAACGAAATTCAAAAAATTGTCAACTCAACAACGCCACGAAAAATACGCATTCTCACGAATTAATGTCCGATGAAGACTACGATTATTATGAACCGCTGAAAGAGGTAGGAAAGATATATTTGTGCGTATATTTACAGTATATTACTGCATGAAGCATTTCTTCAAAATATGTATGTATGTATGTGTATATATATATATATATATATATATAATTATATATATATATATATATATATAGTTTTTCGAATAAATATAAAAGTGGCTGTACAGTGTAGAATACAGTATATATATATATATAAGGAAAACTATTTACGGTCATTTTATTCTTACAAAAACATGCAAGTGCATGGTGACACGCCGGTGAAATTTCTGCCAATATTTTTTTTATTTTTAGTTGCAGAGAACAATAAAACGAGATTCTACGTTAAATAACGGTAAGATTAAATACGATCAACCGAAGTTTTAATGAATGTCATACCTGTCATACTAATTTACTTTTCTATCTCTTTAATCTCGTCTAAACATGCATATACCACTACATGTCGTGACAGTGAATTTCCAGCTTTGTATACGGATGTGCCTTCCATGCCAATTTGCAATATTTGAATTTTTTTTCATATTTTTCCCAGAATCTTGTGATACTTTGTACAAATCAGGCAAGGTAACCACTGGCACTTATACAATCAACCCGGATGGTTTGGGAGATTTTGATGTTCGCTGTGATATGACAACCAGCCCAGGAAGAGGCTGGACCATTTTCCAGCGACGTGTTGATGGATCAGTCGACTTCCACAGAAATTGGTCTGATTACAAAGTTGGTTTTGGCAATTTGACTGGTGAATACTGGTTAGGTCTTGACAAGATCCATCGTCTGACAGCTAGCGGGCAGAATACATTGAGAGTTGATCTCGAAACATTTGAAAATGAGACAGCGTACGCAGTTTATGAATCGTTTACTGTGGCGAACGAAAGTCACGGTTATCGCCTAAAATTGGATAATACTTCATTCACAGGTAAAACACACAGATATATAAACAAATAATGTAAAAATTTACTTCATTTATATTTTTCATTGCATTTATACAACGACGGATGAAATACACAAGAACAATGAATAATTATGTTTCTCAGGCTAAGCTAAACATGCAGAATGCCTAAATTATTTATAAACTTCATGTAAACTGATCGTTCTTATTCTCACCTCCGGAGTTTGAATAAGGTTCACAATTGTAGAAATATACCATCATGACAATGTTTAATTACTGTAAATCTGATATAATCAAGCAATGACAGTTCATTCAATCTCAGAATTACAATGAAAGTTTTAGGATTATTTTGAAGAATTTTATTTCACATGCAGGTACTGCCGGAGATTCTCTCGAAGGAAACAGTGGGATGAAGTTCACCACTCAAGATGTTCACAATGACTTTTTGCCGAAAAACTGTGCTAAAGAGTGGAGTGGTGCTTGGTGGTTTCGTAGGTGCGGTGCTTCAAACCTGAATGGGAAATATTCAAAGGCTCCGGAAGACGAGTTGGCTATTGGTATCCGTTGGAGGAGATTTAAAGATAATTTTTCTTTTAAAGTTGCTGAAATGAAAGTCGGACCTGGTGATGTCTAAAATAAGGGTCATAATTCAAGACAATTCCGGCTAACCGGATGTTATATACTAAAGTGATGTTACATAAATATAACATATTTAATCATTATCGTTTAATAATTTACTCAATGGATGTAGTTATCATTTCATAATTTACTCAATCAGTGACATATGATACATAGCATATAGTTTTATAGTATAGTATAGTATAGCTTTATAGTAAAACATTTGATAGCTCTTAGAAGTAATGTATGTATAGAAGTAATGTATGTATAGCTAAGTCCCCTAAAGTTTGTAATAAAATTTGATAAAAATCAAACTTTAATATATACTAAGCTTTGCCTTTGTAATGTAAAGTTTACTTATATATTTAACGTTCGTTTTCAAATGCATGAGTGAAATGTTTATACGGTAACGCAGTTATGCCTGCATGTCGTGAATACTTATGCATTCAGACCATAAACATTACATGCATGGTGCTAAGTGCCTGAACCGGTTTCAAAAGAGGTCCAATTTTAGACGTATGTGTAGATCATGATGCTCTTCAAATTATGAAAAATTTATATGAAAATATAGCTTTTTTATAACTGTAACTTCTTTAGTAGGTATATATCTTTATGTGCTTGTCCCATGATGTACTGTTGACAAAAAGCAGCGAGTGGCTTTAGCACAGCTAAAATTTGAGGGGATCTTGAAGACACCTAGCCTGCAACGCAGACTATATATTGGGGTATATATAGAAGGCAAGAAGACACCCTATGATTGCAGTGGTGTGATTCACTCTATCCAATCAACGTTGTATGTTACAAGTGTGAGTTGGAGTTAGAAGTTCGCTCCAGCTCTCGATTTTGTTTACTTAAGGGCGTTGACGCACTAGTCGAGTTGGTCTTTTGCTTAATCGATCATTGTTAAAACTTGTTCACAACTTAAAATATTTATCATCAACTAAAGTATAATTACCAAATTATTACTCTGTGAACCATATTTCAAACTTATAAACTATTTTACTAATAATTTTGCTTAGTGTAAGTGCTTAACCGAGCACTGATATAACAAAGAAATGATCGTTTTATCGTTATGAGTAATAAACGGTGTAATAGGTTCGTATAAAACTGTTAAAGTATTGGATTCCCTTGACCTAACACAATTTGTTTTGCGAGAACAATATACATGGTGTCTAAAAAAAACGCAAAATGCTAAAAGTCATTTTAGATGAACTATGGTGCAAACATGAACAATATTAATATTCTTGCATATTTAAGTGGTTGCGTTTTTTTGAGACACCCTGTACAGTATGATTATTGACATTATATGCATAAATTAAGTGGAAACACGGACCAGGCGACAAACCTAAAAATAAGAAACACGTTGTTGTAATTAAAATCAGGAGTTTTACGATGTAGAGTATTAGGCCAAAGAAATCAAATAAATACTTAGATATTATATGATATTTGGAAAGTCTGTATGATGATAGCTCTGCATCGCTGGTTGTTTAATTCTGGCGAGCCACAATTAAAATCGAGAGAAAACTTCCATTCCATCGAAAAGTTTAGCCTGGTACGTGAAAAACACAACGGGCGTTCTGTTTCAATGTGATATATTTCAGAAGTATCATAAATACTATTACTACCAAAACAAATCGATAAAAATTGGAAGTCGCATCTGATATACCCGAATTTCAAAATTTTCAGTTTGAAGCTTGTCCCTATAACCCCCCAAAAATGCTTCATCCCCGCTCTCTTTTTTCAATTGAAATCCAATGAACTCGTAGTCGTGGTATTATTTTTATTTAATTATCATCTACTTATAATTTATTTAAATCAACATTAGAGGTGACTTTTTACACTTTTTGTCTCATAAATTGCTAGAGTTATTATATTAGGCTTGTTTCTTTTTAACCTGCATCCTTTTGGCACAAGCACCCAATAAACAGTAGCACAAACGTAGTAATAAATAAACTATGAGACATACTACAAGAATAAGAAAGATAAAGACATCAAACATGTGCAATTTATACTGTGGTAAATCAATAGCTTCGCTTGTGAGAAAAGAGGCTCCATCATGACGCAAAGCATATTCGATCCAATCCGCACCTTCCTGGCTTGGGCTCTGCTTTCTATCTTTCATTATTGTTGAGAGTCCTTTGACATTCTCCACATACACCTTGTTACTCAACACCTCGTTGATAGCATCTCCCAATATTTTGCGATTGGCGATTATATCCGTCCATTGGATAATCACACCAAGCCCTTTATGTTGTATCAAGTCTGCCTGTCGGTATTGGTCAGCCATCATTGGTATGACAACCATTGGCACCCCATGGTACACACTTTCCTGATAGCTATTCAACCCACCATGGGTGACAAAAACCTTGGTGGATGAATGCCCTAATAAGTCGTTGAACGAAAACTCGTTTTTAGAAAACCATTGAATTATCTTGATATTTTTACCAATATTTTTCGGCATTTCACCAGAGTATTTCCATAAAACAGCAGTACGAACCTGGCTCAATTCATCAGCGATAGTCTGGGCAAGGCCTGGTGGATAGTTCGAGTAAATTGTGCCAAATGAAACTATTACAACGACCTTATTTTCATTCATAAACTTATCCAAATGCTCCGGAAGTCTCCGAGCAGGCTCCGATAAAAGTGCACCGATAACTTTGATATTCGCCCCAAGAGGGCGCGACTGTTCGAGTGCAAAATCGTGTGGGACGAGTTCAATACCGTGCGTTCGGCGTGCGATTGTGGAGCTCGGGAATTTCGAGTTCGCTTTGCCGTACTTTTCCCAGAGATCTTCTATTCGAGAGTTATAGTAGGTAAGAATATTCCAAAAGCAGACACAGGTCACAAAACCTTTCAGACGGTTCATAAATGAAAATTTACTCTCGCTTGGCAAGTGTATTGAAGCTCCCAATGTCACATATACTGATGCCTGAGGATAATCAGATAGGTATACGCCAAACAGATTAAAAAATCCTAGAATGGACACGTCTACGCGGCTTACATTCAACATATCAGCCAGAATATGGCAACATTGGTTTGTATTGTCACACAGCACTAAATCAACGGATGATTTGAGTTCTGAAATCAAGCTTCCGTGTTTTAAAAAGTCCTCACAAGCCTGTCGATGAATCCGCTGGATTTCTGACGCTATCGTGGTCACACCTTCAAACAGTCGGGAAAGGTCCTTGCCGAAGTTTCCTGCGCTCGCGTAACGTAAACACAGAGCCATATTGTCCTTGTTGGTCACTGACGAATTAAACATTACCACGTTAACATCATCGAAGGTTTCCTGTGCAAAATTCGGTAAAATGTGAGAGTATTTGTGGCCCCTTGTCTGGAGCTCTTTGCCAAGTTTCCATAACATTCTGTGATGACTGACATAGTTCAACGATGCGAAGCCAACTATATGTGCACATTGTGTTTGCATGATGAACAAATGTACGCATATTAAGATTAGGCAAGGTACACGGACAGATAGAGTGTAGCTGTAATTCATAATAAAAACCTGCGCGAATTGACGAGGACCAACTGCACATATGTCTCTCCTATTACCGTAGGTAGATAAAGAAAAGTATGTAAATTAACAATCAAGAATAACAATATTGCAGTATAGATGTTCGTCATACAATGCCATGGTAACAAAGCCATACGCATGGCCCGAGTACACCATACCGGATTCGCTGGTCACGACATTTTCGTTTGCTGCCGAAAACAGCAATTGGCAGCAAATGCCTTTTGGTGTAACATTTTTTTGGTACATTTCTTTGTTTCTCCGGCATTTAAAACTTCATAGCTTTTCATTTGCGCACAGAATTTTCTTGAGACGAGAGAAATTAATTTTCGGAGTGATGCTAAATGTTATAAAATCACAAGTGGTACTAGAACACTATATATTTATAGATGTCACTGATCTGCTGAGCGTAACTTTGGAATGTAACTTTGGAGTTTCGCAAGAAACCAACATTGAGCTCAAGCCAAAGTACATAAGATTTTAGTTCCCCAGAGCCAATCGTATTCAACGGCCGGTTTTACAGCTGTGTATCGATCCAACAACACATTAAATATTCCGATCTTTTGTGAGCGAATAGGAAGCCAATATTCATGAATATTTACTGTTGCGTTTGTTTATCCACCTTGTATAAAACTGTTAAAGCTGGTCATTTAGTATACAAATTATAGGATTTTAGAGACCCTATCACTGTATTGGAGTTCACTGAGGCAAAGCCGGTTTTCCACTGGGCGAATACATCGATCAAGGGAAAATGTTTTGTCTAATTTTCTTTTGAATTGTGACAAGTCAACGGAAGCGGATTTTGAATGACAAACTAGTATATGAATAACCTAATGAAGCAACAAATTTGGATAGTGGCGACGAGAAATACTTAGTGGGGGGCTAATATTCATTTATTCATGTTAGCAGACTGTAAAATACATATGATATAAAGACATCAATGTATTCTAATTTGAACAGATGACATTATTTGCCAGGGTTATTAGGTCTGCTTCTCTTTAACCTGCATCCTGCTGCCACAAGCACCCAATAAACAGTAACACAAACGTAGTAATAAATAAACTATGAGACATACTACAAGAATAAGGAAGATAAAGACATCAAACATGTGCAATTTATACTGTGGTAAATCAATTGCTTCGCTTGTGAGATAAGAGGCTCCATCATGACGCAAAGCATATTCGATCCAATCTGCACCTTCCTGGCATGGGCTTTGCTTTCTGTCTTTCATTATTGTTGAAAGTCGTTTAGTATTCTCCCCATAAACTTTGTTATTTAGCACCTTGCTAATAGCATCTTGCAATATATTTCTATTGGCAATTAAAGACTTCCATTTGATAGCAACACCAAGCTCTTTATGTTGTACCAAATTTGCCTGTCGGTATTGGTCACCCATCATTGGTATGACAACCATTGGCACCCCATGGTACACACTTTCCTGATAGCCATTCAACCCACCATGGGTGACAAAAACCTTGGTGGATGAATGGCCTAATAAGTCGTTAAACGAAAACTCGTTTTTTGGAAACCATTGAATTATCTTGATATTTTTACCAATATTTTTTGGCATTACACCAGAGTATTTCCATAAAACAGCAGCATGAACCTGGCTCAATTCATCAGCGATAGTTTGAGCAAGGCTTGATGGATAGTGTGAAAAAATTGTGCCAAATGAAACTATTACAACGACCTTATTTTCATTCATAAACCTATCCAAATACTCGGGAAGTCTGCGAGCAGGTTCTGGTGAAAGTGCACCGATGACTTTGATATTCGCACCAAGAGGGCGAGACTGTTCAAGTGCAAAGTCATGTGGGATGAGTGCAATACCGTGCACTCTGCGTGCGTCTCCCGCGCGCGTAAAATTCGAGTTCGCTTTTCCGTGCTTTTCCCAGAGATCTTCCAGTTTAGAACTGGCAAAAAAGCTCCAAAAGCCTGTACAAGTCAAAAAACCTTTCAAACGGTTTATGAATAAAAGTTTGCTTGCCCTTGGCAATAATAGTGAAGCTTCTAGGGTGATATATATGGATGCTTGAGGATAATCGAACAAGTATACACCATGTGTACTTGCAAATCCTACGGTAGAGACGTCAACGCGGCTTACATTCAACATATCAGCCAGAATATAGCAACATTCATTTGCCACATCACACAGCACTAAATCAACGGATGATTTGAGATCCACTATCAAGCGTTCGTGTTTCAAAAGATCCTCACAGAATTGCCGATAGAACCGCCAGCGTTCTGGAACTACTGTAGTCAGTGCTTCGATTAATGCGAAGATGTCTTTGCCTACGTCGCCAAAGGTTGATAAATTCAGATACCAATCCAGAATTTCCTTGCTGGTCACCGATGAATTGAACATCTTCACGTCAACGTCATCGTAGGTTTCCTTTGCAAAATTTGGTAAAATGTGTGTATATTTGTGCCCCCTTGTTTGGAGCTCTTTGCCAAGTTTCCACAACATTCTGTGATGACTTACATAGTTCATCGATGCAAAGCCAACTATATGTCCACATTGCGCTTGCTTGACCAAAAATAGGCATAAAAGAATAAGGTAAATTATAAGAAATGGCAGTGTGTTCGTTCGCTCCATTCTGAGAATTTTCCCAGTGTTTCCACCAGTGTTTCCACAACACACTTTTCAAACTTCTATAATTTCGTCAATAATTTCAAATGATGGGATGTGCTCTATCTTAATCTCGAAAAACCGTCTCAGACTAGGTTTGCACGGATTGTCTTTGGCTATCTTTAAAACCAGGAACGGGGAATCGAGGAAGGGAACGGGGAAGGGAACGGGGAATGATAAAACCAGGAATGGGAAAAGCCGGAATCTTTAAAGCCAAGAATGAGAAAAGGCGGAATCTTTAAAACAAGGAATGGGAAAAGCCGGAATCTTTAAAACAAGGAATGAGAAAAGCCGGAATCTTTAAAACCAGGAATGAGAAAAGCCGGAATCTTTAAAACCAGGAATGGGAAAAGCCGGAATCTTTAAAACCAGGAATGAGAAAAGCCGGAATCTTTAAAACCAGGAACGGGAAAAGCCGGAATCTTTAAAACCAGGAATGAGAAAAGCCGGAATCTTTAAAACCAGGAATGGGAAAAGCCGGAATCTTTAAAACCAAGAATGAGAAAAGCCGGAATCTTACGGCCGGAAGTTTGTAACTAAATTAGCTACAATTTCCGCGCGTAGTACAAAATATGCTAATTTGACATATTTTGCTATATATTATGCTATATTTTCCGTATTTACCAAATTTCGCAGCCAAACTTAGCATTTCCACTCATTCAAGTACGCTCAATTCTTTTATCTGTTATATGGAACATAAACTGCATTCTTTTGTGGGGGAAGGGATCAAATACATATATAATTATACAAACGATGAAACGAACACAAGGACTGACAATTAAGGTTAGTTTGTAAACAGTTAAATTTGTTGATTTGGTCTCATTCATAAACCTACAAAGTGGAGCTTTGCGCGTTGCTATCTACCGTTTAATATCTACATTGGTTTTGAAATTGAATAATGTTTGGTTGGAAATGAAAACTTTTTGGATCCAAATTTGAATTTCCAAATTTTCATATGAATTGCATACTGCATGATATAAAATATGCAAGAACAACTTCATTAAATACACAATATATTTTATCTTTTCTATATTCAGTACATTGTATTTACAGCTACTTAATATATCAGTATAAATCTATGCGAACAACAATTTTTCTCCATTTAATACATACATATTAAGCTTATTTTGCAATATATATTTGTCATAGTTCATGGTAACAGCTTTTCAATATTGAATCAGATTACCCCTGAACAATGCACTACACTTTTGTTGTCCCAAGTATAACATAATTTTGCTTGTAAGTAAAATTGTATAGAAAATGAAAATATTTTAGTGCATTTTGTACCTTAATTAACTCAAATTATAATTAAACAGTTACCATTCTCACCCAAGGTTTTAATGACTAGAGGCTGATTAAAAATATACAATAATAATCTGTAAGTAAGTAACAGTTGAAATAAATTAAAATCTTGGCTCTTTGAGAACTACTTTGTGTTGGGATGGAATTTTGGAATATATCCTAGGTCTTGTTTAGAAAAGTATAGCCAACCAGCATTTACTTTTACAAATAATTTATTCAAATAAAAATGCTTTAGAAGTTGTGTAGGGAAAACCTAGCTGTGGTTTTCTAGGCTAGCATGATTCAATATATGAAAAGCTTTTACTATGAACTATGACTATATAGTGCAAAAAAATGTATTAAGTGCAGCAATATTGTTGTTTGCATAATTATATATGTATTTATTATATATTCCATCAATAACCTTCCTCCACAAAATAATTCAGTTTATGTTCCATATAACAGATAAAAGAATTGAGATATGTTGTTAAATTTTGGAATATTACCAGTACCTTGTATTTGCTCCTACTTAATATAAATCTACTCTACAGTATGTAAACAACCATAGGATATATTCCAAAATTCCATCCCAACACAAAGTAGTTCTCAAAGAGCCAAGATTTTAATTTTTTCAACTGTTACTTACAGATTATTATTGTATATTTTTAATCAGCCTCTAGTCATTAAAACCTTGGGTGAGAATGGTAACTGTTTAATTATAATTGAGTTAATTAAGGTACAAAATGCACTAAAATATTTTCATTTTCTATACAATTTTACTTACAAGCAAAATTATGTTATACTTGGGACAACAAAAGTGTAGTGCATTGTTCAGGGGTAATCTGATTCAATATGAAAAGCTGTTACCATGAACTATGACAAATATATATTGCAAATAAGCTTAATATGTATGTATTAAATGGAGAAAAATTGTTGTTCGCATAGATTTATACTGATATATTAAGTAGCTGTAAATACAATGTACTGAATATAGAAAAGATAAAATATATTGTGTATTTAATGAAGTTGTTCTTGCATATTTTATATCATGCAGTATGCAATTCATATGAAAATTTGGAAATTCAAATTTGGATCCAAAAAGTTTTCATTTCCAACCAAACATTATTCAATTTCAAAACCAATGTAGATATTAAACGGTAGATAGCAACGCGCAAAGCTCCACTTTGTAGGTTTATGAATGAGACCAAATCAACAAATTTAACTGTTTACAAACTAACCTTAATTGTCAGTCCTTGTGTTCGTTTCATCGTTTGTATAATTATATATGTATTTGATCCCTTCCCCCACAAAAGAATGCAGTTTATGTTCCATATAACAGATAAAAGAATTGAGCGTACTTGAATGAGTGGAAATGCTAAGTTTGGCTGCGAAATTTGGTAAAATACGGAAAATATAGCATAATATATAGCAAAATATGTCAAATTAGCATATTTTGTACTACGCGCGGAAATTGTAGCTAATTTAGTTACAAACTTCCGGCCGTAAGATTCCGGCTTTTCTCATTCTTGGTTTTAAAGATTCCGGCTTTTCTCATTCCTGGTTTTAAAGATTCCGGCTTTTCCCATTCCTGGTTTTAAAGATTCCGGCTTTTCTCATTCCTGGTTTTAAAGATTCCGGCTTTTCTCATTCCTGGTTTTAAAGATTCCGGCTTTTCCCATTCCTGGTTTTAAAGATTCCGGCTTTTCCCATTCCTTGTTTTAAAGATTCCGGCTTTTCTTATTCCTGGTTTTAAAGATTCCGGCTTTTCTCATTCCTGGTTTTAAAGATTCCGGCTTTTCTCATTCCTGGTTTTAAAGATTCCGGCTTTTCCCATTCCTGGTTTTAAAGATTCCGGCTTTTCCCATTCCTTGTTTTAAAGATTCCGGCTTTTCTTATTCCTGGTTTTAAAGATTCCGGCTTTTCCCATTCCTTGTTTTAAAGATTCCGGCTTTTCTTATTCCTGGTTTTAAAGATTCCGGCTTTTCTCATTCCTGGTTTTAAAGATTCCGGCTTTTCTCATTCCTTGTTTTAAAGATTCCGGCTTTTCCCATTCCTGGTTTTAAAGATTCCGGCTTTTCCCATTCCTTGTTTTATCATTCCCCGTTCCCTTCCCCGTTCCCTTCCTTGATTCCCCGTTCCTGGTTTTAAAGATAGCCGATTGTCTTTGGATTAGTCTGAAAACGGTGTAAAAGGTATCAAAACGGAGTTGCGTTTACACTGCACCGGAGCGGATATGTTACGCGGATTTCTTCGAAAACGTCCAGCTTCTGCCACACTTTCTAATGAACGCAATCTGCATTCGTTTCGGAAAACGTCCAGCCTCAAAGTTGGAAAACGTCCAGCCTCCTTCGGTAAAGGTTTAACTTTAACACACCCCTCGGTGCGTAAAAACCTTACACTATACTAGGTTTCTATTGGGAAAACGCTTCAACATTAACGATTCGTTCAACCAACATGGAAGTGAAATTTCTATATACGCGAATATGGAGTAAGCACACACAAGTTAATGACTGACAATCGTGACTGTCTGTATGAAACGTACCTTATTCGGGATTTTTAGTTTTTTTGCTGACGTTGCAAACATTAGAAAATGACGTAATGTTTTGATCGAGAAGACAACAAATATGGCGGCCATCACGGTACCGCAAAACATCGATCCGCTTCGAAACTTCGTAATTTGGGTAAATTAGGCTCAGCCGTTTCTGTTGAGAATGATGTGCCGGCAAGAAGATATTTAAGATCCGGTTTAGAGATGGAAAGAATGGTAAAACTGATAAGCAATTTTTGTATTCTTATTATTGTAGCATTTTATTGCTTACAATGTTTTAATAATAATTATAAACAGTGGTTGAAGTTTGTTCGTTTAAATGTGTCGCCAGTTTGTTCACTAATTCTGGTACTATAACGATAAAGTTTAGCTTTCGTGGTAAAGTTTAAGAGAGATAGTGAAATGATGTGCTAGATTTTCGGCAAATAATATTGGTTGTCAAGTTGACAACGATTCTTCATAATACTTCATACAGAATTTATTGCAACATTATATTAAATACTAATATAAATCTCGATTTCTCACTTTAGGCGAATATTTACTTGGAGGAAGGGAATCTTGAACATGCTTTTATTTTGTACACCAAATTAATAACGTGAGTTTGTACAAAGTCTTAGGATATAAAGTAAAAGTGTTGTACATTAGAACAGTTTCAATTGTGAATTTATTTGTAATATTTATTTGTTACAAACAATATATTTGAAATAAAAAGCCTTGAATCTGACCCTAAGCTCCAACGTTGCAACTATGTATATACTGTACAATTTATTTTTATTGGTCGTGTTTTGTAGATTGTTGGTAGAGAAACTACCACACCATTCTCAGTATAAGCAAATAACAACTGCCAGCATAGCTGATGGGAAAAAGGTACTATGATCAGATTCCACAGATATATACCAGGGACTATAACTGGATCACACATCTACAGTGATTGTGAATAAACTAAGTCACATATATAAATCTATATATATATATATATATATATATATATATATATATATATATATCATTTGCTTTTGTCAAGATGTCTAAGATAGAGTGTTAATAATTGGTGTCTGGTATTGCAATAGACAATATATATAATGGTAATACAGTACTTCAAAGTATATAGTACATACATGATACATTACTGGTATACAATCAATTTTATGTGGACTAAGTACTAAGCTACCATACAATATTGCATGAACTGAAACTGCATGGTGGTTTACAGAGAGTTAATAGAGCGTTTAAAAGAGCTGAGGAACTAAAGGAAATCTTGAAAAAACGATATGGAGAAGAGCTAGAAATCTGGAAAGTGAAGGAAGCTGAACGGGTAATTGCTTTTGATTTCAGTTAAGTGAAAAGAGAGTAAGATTGATTCATAAACCTGTTGTCTGTAAAGTTCATATGTTAACCAGTGGGCTAATTTCTATTAAAGTACTGAAATGTTCTGTTTAGATACAATTGGAAAAAGAAAGAGAGGAACATGCCAGACTTCTCCAACAAGAAAAGGAACATGCTGCACAACAGGAGTTAGAACGGCAAAAACAATTTGAGCAACAAAAAGATGAAGAGAGAAAACAAAGCGCACAGGTGGCAAAAAATAACTTACCTACGGTCATGCCTAGCGCACCTCCGCTCGAAGTTAAAGATTCTGGAAAAAGTTCAAACACAACCAGTAAGGTGTATTCAAGCCTAAATGATGACTTGTCGCAAGTTCAGACATCTGAAATTGAAAGGTGATCCACAATACTTTTAAAATCCTATAGAGTGCAATACGTCACAAACATTAAAGAAATACCCTCTTTTAACTTCCTATGCATTAATATTCATCAAGTAAGATGTAGAAAAGAAACCACTTAAGATCTTGAATATACGTGCTAAACGTTTTTCTTTTTTTACTGATATCTTGATCAGTTTTAATCTGCTCTCTCCAGCATTTCTGTAAACTCGGAAGTTGTTCTAAATTCTTTAAGTTCGTTATTACAATCGATAATTACGTCACAACATTATCGTTTCAAATTTACTTCAACACAAATTGCATGAAAAATATTTTTTGTTTTGACCAATAAATGTGAAAATAAGCCGTAACACTAATACAAGGCTATCAGGCCACGACCAGGAGCCTCGTTCTCGAGTAATGGCTAATTTCCACACTGATTTGTCAAAATGAGAAATTCTTTTTCATGCATGTGTTGAAGAAGGATGTTTTGCATCTTGCACCTGGCTCATGAGAGTAAAACTTGAAGCCCATCTCAGTTAAGGTGATCCTAAATTTAAATCGATAATTTTGTGACGTAATTATCGAAAGGGTCTATTGGTTCAGAAATCAAAAGGATCCAAAGAAGTGCATTGTGAATTTTTGAGTTTTGTCACAAACTTGCGAATTTTCAAAATTCCAAGTATTTGTGCGTAAAGTTTGACTGTGAAAACTTATCAACTTTCGCCAGGCTACTTTGACAGGGGCTTAACAATGGAATATTTCTTTTTTAGAACTATTCCTTCTATTGATAGAACTACAAAACCAAGCTGGTTAGGTTGGTTTTATTTCCCACGTTATTTCAAACGATTTCTACTATCTATATATCGCCATTTCCTATGATGTTGAGAATGGAAGTTTTTACACTTTTTATAATCTGCACTCTGGTGGTATGTAAAATGGAGGAAACGCTCGGTACACTGCAGGAAAGACCGTCTTACAGTCTCGTTTATCGAGCCCACGATCGTTGACTCGAGGAACGAGGTTGACTGTTTCGGCTACTGTAGAGAAATTTTAGAAAGCATAGTAAGGATTTTTGAGGGAGCTTTTAAAAATAGTTTCAGAAAAGCGCATTTTTATTACTTCTTGTAGATTTCGACAGCGGTTTGCGAACTGTAAACGTCCCAACGGAATTAATGAGGAAATTTATTGATGTTGCATCGCCAAATACCCGTCAGAATCGGGAAACCTGTGGGATATTAGCTGGCAAATTGGTAAGATTAAAACTAAATTGAAGCTACCCTCGAGGCTCCCCCTTCCTAGGTTGTCGCGGTTAACTGGTCCGGCCGAGTACCCGGGCGTTATATTAGAATATATCCGGCCGAGTACCCGGGCATGAAAGATCGGATTCAGCTGCTAATATGGATATCTGTGCCCTTCGCACGCCAGGATATCTATATTACGAGCTGAACGCGATATATATCCCGGTACACGTGTACAATTTGTCTACTCGCCTTCATTTAGAGCCATCATGCGTTCTATATATCTCATCTGGTCATTCCAAAGCAAACGTCAACGTCCGACTCATGTACGACACTCGGTGAAGAAGATATATTCACATACCTAGATGCGCATGATTTGAATACGCTTGGCTGGATTCACGTAAGTGCATAATCATTACTCAAAGAGAAAATGGCTTAACTGCCTCCTGTGAGTCAGCTCTCCAGTTTACTCATAGTTCAGCAGTTACAACAAATATTCGTGTACTTACATTTAGACTCATCCATCTCAAACGGCGTTCATGTCCAGTATCGACCTTCACACGCATTGTTCATATCAACAAATGCTGCCTGAAGCTGTTGCAATAGTCTGTGCTCCAAAACACTCACAGTAAGTTGAATATCTTGTTCCCAACTCGTTTTATAGCTCGTGTGGGTGTCACTGAACTGTAATAACAACTGGAGCGATACGTGCCACATTTTCCCGAATTTTAATACTTTATCTTAAACGTTTAACTGTGGAGAAACAATTGTCAGGTTGCTTCTTTATCAAAATATTCCGCACTTTCTTCAGGTGCCAATTTAGCACTAGCATACTGAAAATAAGGGGAAATTTGACAGTTAATATGCGATTCCATGCGTTGAGATAAGTTTATGCGCACAACCGAGGGCCTACACTTCGCAGTTGCCCTTTTCGCTACAGGTTCCTTTTGGGTCCAAGATATACAATGTCATCAAAATTTTGTATTTACTCCCATTGGTGACTGATTCCATCGACAGAAACGTTGCATGGAGTGATGTATATCTCTGAACCACGACTGAAAAGTCTTGTTTTCGGCTCTTGACTTTAGAATCGGAATGTACTCCCTCACGAGGGAATATGGTTTGAAATTTATCCGCGCGTGTAAACAAGAAGGATTCCATCCCCATCCCAAGGAACCGCCGATATACGAGGTAAAATGAAATGTCATAGTCAGTAGAGACTCGGCTAAGCCTCATACTTTCTCTAAGCTTAGGCCTGTTTCAGACGTCGATCCTTTCATGTGCCAAATTGAACCTAAAAGACTTTTGTTCATTAACATTAGGTTCTGCACATGAAAAGTTCGACGTCTGAAACAGACCTTAGTTCTTGTTTGTCGACATCATAAACAATTGATGTCTTGCATCATAAAACATCATTCCATAGCATCACCTCGCCAAACACGAAGCCATATACTGATATATTTTAAAAGTAAAATCTCAAATAGCTATTATATATATAAATGATGGCAGAACTATATGGGCTTGAAATCCATTTTTCGAAAATATAAATCATTCCATTCCATTCTGATGAAAAAACAATTTAGAAATATTTGTCATGTCACATCAATTTGACTAAAATCTTTTTGATTTCGAGTTTTGTTCTCGGCATGCCGTCATATTTTTGCCAAAAAAGGCGTAATTATTCTCTCTAAGCTGAAAGATGTCAATATCGATATCAATGAACATGCTTTTCTCGCGAAAAGTAAATTTCATTATTAGCATAAAGCAATTCCTTTCGGACACAAAAGTTCATCAAAAGTTACTCGATCCTAATTTAATTTATGTGTTTTGGCGGGGTATCTAAATGTTTTTGTACTCTTCCTTCAGGAAAGTGGTCATATCAAGTTAGATGCGAACATGTCAGCCATAGTAGCCGATTTACGGTGAATCAATTGAATGGTAATAAACTACTAAGGAAAAATATACTTCTATGACGAAATAAACTAATATACCCCGACAAAATATCAACTGTCCACAGGAAGATCGACAAGGACAATTTGACGAAGGGAAACTGAGAAAGTGAGAATGTTATCCCTTCGAAGAGATTCTCGAAGAGGCCACTCATTTTATACTCTTGTAACCAGACACTCTTGTGCTTCGTCTCAATTCAGACTAGTCCCTAGTCCTCTTTTGCGCGCTTTGTATTCTTCTGGCTTCTTTTCACTCCCTGCACAATTTCCAGCGCGTTAGACAGACCTGACACAAGGCTGGTCCCGATTGGTTTACTCTTTGACTTGTCTGCCCGACTCTGCCACTCAATCTGTCTTACTGTCTCAATCTGTATAGGCCTAATATATACGAGCCACAAATACACTGTACATTTGTAGCGGGTTGAAGGGGACAGTAAGAAGGCTTTAAAATATAGTTAAAACATTACCTTAATATGCCGTTATCCTGATCAGACTTTATCGATTTTAAGATAAAGAAAAAAAACCACATTTTGTAACACTGACAGGTCCATGCATTGCGAATTATGCAACGAAAAATTTTGTTCAATCGGAATAGTTTGCGTCGACAGCGTCGTGCATAAAAAAAATTTGGAATTCTGTCGTGGTATTTAGCCCTGATTTTTATCTTTATCCTGCGTGGAACACCATTCTTCGCAAGTGATTTAACATTTTGTAATTTGAATATTAATGTGGTATGGGTGACCTTTCAGGCATTAGGGAATACTACAACTCGTTTGCGCATATGTATACTGTAGTTAATCTAGGGGGAAGTTAAAGAATATTTAGCACTTTAGCCAAGCGAAAGGAAGTCCTAAACGTCAATATTATAAACGACCGAAAAGGAGCAAAATACAGGAAAGCTAGTAAGTTGGAATGGTATGAACCACAATATTTAAAACTAGAGGGAGCAAGGCACGCTAAGACCGGTTTTCCACCAACGATAATATTCGCGCGAAGCGACATTTTCAATTTTATTCGCTCTCAAGTGGAAAAAATTGCTCAAATACAAATAGCACTTGTGGAATATATCTAAAGTAAATACTTCGTTGGGGGAATGTGTTTTTCGAAATTTTTTGACACGGACCAGTAGTAGTAGAACATGATGTGGGCTTTATTATCAACGAGCTACCAATATTCCACAAAACATGTATATTTTGCGGAGTCTTGGTCATGTTTTGAACTACCTCAATTACGATTACTTGTGTACAATTTTCATTCTGACGAATGCTAAACAGGGTCTATGCCAAAAACGTTTTCATTTTTTTGAAGAACAGAATTTAAAATGTTGCGTTTAAAATGTGTCACATACTCCAGGGTAAGAATCCTATACGATAAGTCGCCTTTATATTTAGTCTCAGCAGAAGCGGATGTCTCGCATAATAATAGCAGTTCAAAGTTTAACAGAAAAGGTCATGTATCAATATGAGTACCGTGCGGATATATAAGTGGAATTATAATCTTATATTTTTTATAAAACAATCGAGTTATATGATAAGTTAACCAAGAACAAAGGATCATTTGTTGTTTCATAAAGAACAGAGACCTTTTCAAGAAGGGAAATAATGTGACTCAGGTATATGAGTTGATGTTGCTACTTTGAGTAACCAACTGAGCAAGCTAAAAAGTTAGTTGATGACGGTGGGAATTGAACCTTGCTTGTCCAATGCCTTTTCAACTGAGCTACCAGGTCAAGACTGTTCGAGTATCGAACTCCTTTCTCATCCAGGAACTCAATACAGTTCCTTGCATATATCTGTGCGTCTTAGAGTGATAGTGATGATGCGTGTAGATGACTCAGGGATATGAATTAATATTGTGATTCCGGAGTAACCAACTGAGTAAGCTGAAATTTAGCTTGACCACCGTGGAAATCGAAACCGCGACATCAAAATATGAATTTCTTTACCCGTGAGACTGAGTGACACGCATCATCACTAATTCCCTTAAAGACGCACAGATATAGAAAGGACTATGGATTGGGTTCCGAAATATCACAAACTCGAACCGTCTTAATAGCTCAGTTGAATCATCTGCAACATAGCACAGTATCACGACATGCCTTTTCAAGGAATTGTACTTCATTTCCAGTTGGCCGCGTTACAGTCTTATCGGGCGAAATGATTGGGCGACTCCATTTGATGATTAAATGTGGTTTGGTGGTATTATGCCTTGGGAAATACAGTATTGTTTTTGATAAACAGACATTTAGTCATGTGAATGGTAGGTTTAATTAGTATTCAAACTTCAGGGGCTTATCTGCAATGTAACCTAATTCTACTAAGATCTGTCCCCGCTTTGCACTTTGACGTACAAACCCATGCATCTGTATTCTGTACATTACTAGATATACATTTAACAGTTATTCTGCGAACTCGAGTCGTATATGAGCTGATAGCCGACGAGTTGGCTATCGGCCATATACGACGAGTAAGTCAGTAAATATTGCCCTTTCGGTGCATTTTGGCGTGCTATTATCAACTAAAGTTTGGATTTCTATTTCACTCAACTCCCCAAATCTTTCAGCCATTTTGTTTACTTTCTCTACTAAACAGATATGAGCTAATATCTGTCTAGTAGCCAACCAATGAAATTGCAGCATACCTTATATCTGGCGCTTGTGTATATAATACTATATATACAATACTTTATACTTCACTAATTCAACGCGGAATGCTTCCTGGGTTATTTATGATACATAGAAAATAAAGCCGGAATTTTGACCCGACTTCCGTTATCACGTTTCCTGGATTTCTAGCAGATATTAGAATGACTTTCACGAAAGTACCACTCTTTGAAGGTATACATTTCAGCTTCTATTCGGTAAATCTCTTGGAAACTATTTAGTAGACATTTTATGTGCGGTAAAACTTAATGGTTTTGCGATATTGATGCCCCTCCTCTCCTCAGAGTCCATATAGAGCCTGGTCTGAAAACACAGCAGTCGTACACATGTCATTTTGCATAAACATGAACAAAAAGACAGAAGCAAGACTTTAGTAGAAGGTCAAGACAGCATGCCTACTAACTGTATCCTTATGCAATCATTAGTTCAGGCATCTGCTATCCAAACTAGTGAAACAGCTTCATTCCTTGTAACAGATATGTTTATATACACCGTCCTTTCATTTTTATTTTCCCATAGATTCCACTGAGCAATCATGGGATACATTAAATTATCCCCACGAAGTAAGATTGTGTATGCACGATCTTCCAGTTGTCCCCAAGGAACCTTTGATTTTGAACAGCACTTTTAATGCCACCGTCGAGCGGGGCATCCTTTTGGAAATCTACCGATTGACCAATGGGCTGAATTGGACGAATAGTTCAGGCTGGGGAGGTTCAGGCTCTCATTGCCAGTGGTATGGAGTTGGGTGCAGTAATATAACAAATGGACGTGTCACAGTTTTGACTCTTGAGGCCAACAGACTACAAGGTACACTTCCTTCGACGCTATGGATGCTGAGAGATTTGCAAGGACTTTGTTTGGATGCAAATCCTGGGCTCTATGGAAAAATGGGGGTGAGTAAGTTTGGACGAAAGTAAGAAAGTTCGTTTTAGCTTGAACAAACTGCAATAATTAATTAATTTCAAGATACTCTTCTTTTTCTGGCTGTGGTGCAATTGTTTTTTTCATTCCTAGGATTTTCTTTCTTCAAATATGACGAGGTTAATGAGGCTCGATCTTGCTAGCTGTAATCTCGATGGTGTTATTCCAGATGAAATCATTGCAGGTTCAAAGTCTTTGGTAAAACTTCAGTTAAGCGGAAACAAGCTTAGCGGAGTTATTCCACCATCTATAGGCCAGCTGACCGAGCTTCAGGTATTGAGCCTAGGAGAAAACACCCCAATTACCGGTAAAGTTCCTGAGGGAGTCGGTAACCTTTCGAAACTTTGGTTTCTCGACCTTGAATCTTTGGGAGACCTTGATACCACAATAAAACCGTTTCTGGGTCTTTCATCTTTGAAATTTCTACACATGTCAGAAAGCGGTATACATGGAACATTGCCAGATGACTTCGGATCTTCATTTCCCCTTCTGTGGGAATGTCTGCTAAGCAGAAATTATCTGCATGGAACCATTCCAAAAACAATGGGAAAATTGACTGCTCTCGCTCACTTAAATCTGGCCGGGAACAAGTTCAGCGGACAGGTACCAAAAGGTTTGGGCGAACTTAATAATTTGGAGGTCATTGATCTGTCAAATAACTCGCTCAGTGGATTCGAAGAAGGATTCAGCTTCAATTCTAGCAAGCTCGCGCTTTTAACTGTTGCGCAAAATAGAGATTTTTCTACCCAGTTGTCTCGTGTTTTTAAAATACTGCAATCTGCAATCAATTCTCTCAGAAGGCTCGACTTTGGTGGGTGTCATCTGACTGGAGATATTCCACACGTAATGTGGTCGTTTATGAACTTAATTGAATTCAATGTCAAAGACAACTTGCTGTCTGGATTCTTACCGTTGCCAGGCCAAAACATGTTGTTCCTTATTACGCTTGATTTCTCAGGGAATAAACTTATGGGAGATATTCCCGAATATTACGCCGATCTGTTAGGTCTTCAAACCTTTGACGTGTCTCGTAATCCATCACTCAGATATGCCGGGGGAGATTCGCCGAAAATTCCCAGATTTGCGAAGACGGACAAGAGCACGATGATACGGGAAAACAAAAACGATCATTACACGTGTCCTGTGATCAGGTTTAGGTACAACAGTGGCATTATTAAGATGGATTCGACGTATTACGACAAAGTATTTTGTGAGTGTGACGAGAATTACTATGGAACCAAAGGACGTTGCCTGTTGCTGCATGTCCGGAGGATCGTGTGGCAACCGTTCTGTCATGCGAATCACCTCTGGATACTGGCCTTCTCCCTCGTGGCACAACACAACGCATCTCGTATCGTGCCAAAACGCTGGAGAAATAAGCACGGTTTGTACTCCGACCGGAGAATGCAACTGCTCAGTTAACTCGACCAGAGATGGAGATCTAGTCACGGTTTGTGATCCGGGGTGTATTTGCGGTAAGGGAAGTGGCGGCAGGTATTGCTCAAAGTGCAAGAGAAACTATTACAGCCACAGTGGTGATTGCAATGAATGTCCGTCGAAAGACTCTGAAAAAATCGAAATTCTTGCTCCTATAATGATCGCTGGGTTCTTGACTTTGGTTTATGTCATATTGTTAGTTTACTCTGAGAAATCTCTGAAATGGCCTGTCTTTGTTGTTTTCAAGCAGATTCTTTTCGTAACCCTTTTACATGTTTTCAATTTTGTTCCATCCTGGTTGCTTGAGATCAACATCGTGGTTTTCATTCTTGCGCTAGTTGGACAGGGCAGCCGGGCTCGCGGTGTTCTTAAGATTTCATTGTTTTATTTCCAGTTGCTCGACGCCATGATAGGAAACTACCACCGTTGGCCTTCCGGTGTGCTGAAGATTCAGCGATATTTTAGCAACGTGTTTAACTTTAAGTTTGAAGGCCTCGAGTGTTATCTTCCAAATCTGTTCACCCCGGTTGGAAAATTTTCCTCCCTTCTGTTGCTACCACTTGGCGTGATAGTTGCAACGTTTCTTGTGTTTCTTATCATCGTTATCGTCTACAAGATTTTCCACTTTGACGATGAGAAAATCAAGAAAGCCAGGCACTTTTCCTTCAATATAGTGATTATGTTTCTAAATCTCACCTACTTTCCAATCGTCAAGCGTTCTTTCTCGGCCCTCGCACCTTGTTTGGAAGACATCGACCGTCGGTACATGGGCCAGAATCCTTGGGTCGATTGCCCAAGTCACGAATATAGGGTCATGCGAATCCTTGGTTACTGTTCCTTAGGGGCGTATATTTTAGGCGTTCCTTTTATCTTGTTCCTTCCCCTCTTGATCTGCGCTTTTTGGAACAAAGGTAATGGAGTTAACCGTGAAGGAGCTGGCGGTGAAAGAAATGAAAGGGACTTTTGGATGGGCTTTTTGTATCTGGCATATAAAGAGGAATTTCGAAGTTATATTGAAATCTTTTTCTTGCTTCGCAGAGCTGTATTTGCCGCGATCCTCTCCTTCATTTCGTATCATTCGCCCTTTCAGGTGCCTGTTTTGACGGTTGGCTTTTTGATTTGCCTGCATTTCATCGTGGTGTGCAAGCCCTACGAATGCTCGTCATATTTGAAAGTTGGCCGCTTTAAGGTCAACGTGGAAAATGGTCTCGAATGCTTGATTCTCGTCGTGTTGTTGCTATCGTTCGTTTTCCTCGGTCAAGAGTCTGCACGAAAGAGCCAAAATGTGGCGTTGCTTTGGCTGGTTATTGCGGGCAACAGCCTTGCTACGGTCGTATGTATCGCCGCAGCTGTTATGAGGTTGGTCAGAAAAGTAGAGCAACCGACACCTCCGGCAAGCGCTCAAGCTTCTGAAACACAGAGCCTTCTTCCAGAAAATGGACAAACGAGTGGTAATTATGGTTCTACGGATAGCGCAGCATCTGCTGTCGAAGATGGGCAATAGTTTGATCTCCACTCTTCAAGATCGACGTGTTAAAACACGTGGTTAAAACGAATAGCGAGTTAAGATGCGCCAAATCTACGACGCGGACGTGACATGAAAACAGCTGCTAATCTTGGAAACCCAGTTTTAATTTCTTTTACATTCGGCTCGGACTTTGTTTACCAAAAGGAGTCAATAATTTTCACTCCCTGTTGTGAAACTGTAGAACTAATGGCAGCATTACTTCACATTCGCGTCGTAGATTTGGTGCGCATCTTAAACTCACTGATATATTTTCCTCGTTCACTGGAATTTGGAGGAAACAACAAAAACGTATAACAATTACAATGATTTCTGTTAACAATGAATATTGTCCGTAGCAGATTAAGCAGAAGGATGTATTATTTAGGCCGTTTCAAAATATGTGAACAACTTTATATTGTATTGTATTATAGTGTATTGCTTGTTTTCGGAAAAGAGCATTTTTAGGCGCATTTTAGAATACAAAACACTGATTTAGTTCTTCAAAATAAATATGTCTAGTAAATTCCCGTACCATTACTGCGTAGTATAAGATTTAAAGTATAGTTTATAAATCATATTTTATATTGTTGTAGAATAGTTTATTTTTAGTATTGTAAATGTGATTCGCATTGTAATTTAGTAATATTTACTACTAGATGTGAATTTTTTAAATAATAATAATAAATAATAGTAATAATAATAATAAATAATAAATATAAAAAGTTGTAATTTACGGTTCCTTAAAAGTTATTTTGTGTTCGATTTATCCTCACTTATACGGCCTCAATGACATTAACTTGTAGTAGATAAATTCAAAATTATCTCTAGATGACCCCAAACACTAGATGAATAACAACAACCAAGTGTTTCTTTTCTAAACATGCGAAAGTACCAACCATGCAATAGGAATCAGCAATTTTGTTTATGCTTGTATGCGTCTCGATTATGATATTAAAAAAAGTCCGCTTTTGTCCTTAAATGCAGATCAACTAAAATACAAAACTGCTGACGGTCACTGGCTTTCCAAGAATTTGGCAAATATGGGCAGTTCATTCGCGAGACACTGACAGTTTAAGGCCGCGTATAGACAAGTCCTAAATTCGCTCTTACAAGTCCTAACATTGCGTTCGCCAACATACAAAGATCAGCATACAGAAAAGTTGGTAAGTCATTAGGATGTTTATTAATCACAGACATATAGATAAAATAAACTCACTAACATAATATTGCAAGCAAGCCAAGGCTGAGTACACTTATACACGCATTCGTCAAGGCTTAAGTGCTCACGCCTACGAGAAAATTGTCTTCACTGATTGTTAGTTTTACAGTTAAATGAATATTTTGTTGGGATCCATTCTAGTCTGGGCGCAATGTATCTCGTATGGTGACGCAGACAACAGAGTCACATACACTTTAGAATAAAGCGAAGTTGATGGCTGTAACATTCCAGTATTAATTGAACAGCATTTCCAGTAGATATAGTACTCGGAAGTCGGAAATAGTTTATTCTACTTAGCAATTATAATATTCTTCACTCTTAGATTAAATTCCTTCCTAGCCGCTGAAAGATTCTCCGCTTTACTTCAAAGCTAATTTAAATATTTCAGTCTGATTAACGTTTAATTTTGCTGACGAACTAGGCAAATTCTGAATGCAACTGTTAGGTCTCAACACTAGGGTTTAGAACCGGAAATATTGAATGTTGTGTGCGCGACTGCGTGTAGACGCTAGTTTTGTGTGATAGGCTTTAGAAACGGAAAAACAAGCTTTCCTTTGATTGTAAGACGGAGTCAGATATGTTGTAATGATTAAAAGAACTTTGGAGTGCATTTCTATATATCCTGTGTGGCGTATAATCATTGGCATAAAAGAACAGCGGCAAGGGTAACACAACAAATTTACCGAATTGTGCATGAAAAAGTCAAAGAAACACTAAAAATGTCATCGTCGAATATTCACACGTCAACTTGACCTGACCTTAATTTCCTGTTATTGCTATATCACGCAAGACGTCGTCTCAACGTTATGAAAATAAGCTTGAACTTAGGTTAAACCAAGGAAAGAACGGCGGAAGAATGCTAAGTGAGAGATTGAGGGTGGGCTAATCCTTATATATTCATGTTAGCAGACCGTAACTGAACAATCAATTTCAAAATGAAGTAATGCTGACAATAACTTAACGATCTTCCGCCGTCCTTTCCCTCACTTAACGATCTAATTAAACATTAAGTTCAATCAAGTTTCAAGGTCATAAAAGACTTGCATTTATATAAATAACTCAAAACGTTTTCTGTAATTAAGCGAATCAACGCTTCCACGAATTGTCTTTTCGAGGAATTGTTCTTGATCTCTAGGTAGCTGTATTGTCTAGTCGGGCGAAATGATTGGGCGACTTTATTTGGTGATTGAATGTGGTTTGATAGTATCATGCTTTGGAAAATACGGCGGTATTGTTTCTGATAAACAGACATTTAATCCTGTGAATGGTAGGTTTAGATGCTTTAGAGGCAGGCCGTAGCTTAATATGAGGGGGTGTATATTCATAAATTCATCTTATGCCCGACTGATTTCGTTTGTACGTTATTGTTCCTGCGGTAGATAAACTGAATGTATGCATGTACATGATGAACATGAACATGAACAATTAAGCTGTCTAGCTACCGCCCTGTTTAGTGGTCTGATATTGTTGTGAAAAGCCCTCTTCTTTCATGATCCATGTCTGGAATGAATACTTTCCTTTACACAATTACTTCATATATGCTTTCATAAGCATGAACAAATGAATTATTCTAAGGAAGTTTTGTAACTGCACAAAAGTGCAAAAAATAGTAAAATGTGTGTAAATATAATATCACGTTGTTTTATCTTTTATGTAGCTTAAAATTGACATGATTAACTAATTCTATGCATCCAAATAACTTAATATTTCCTGAAATACACTTTTTTCGGTCTCAAATTTATTTTAGAGTTATATAGTTCTAATAATTGCAAAGGTTAATTACATAATCACAAAGTTTCGACTATCTGCGAGATCTGCTTTATGAGTAGTGCACCCATTCCATCTTTATGTCCTATAGAGATGGCTGGACAATCATGGCATACATTAAATTATCCCGACGAAGTAAGATTGTGTATGCACGATCTTCCGGATGTCCCCAAGGAACCTTTGATTTTGAATAACACCTTTAATGCCACCGTCGAACGTGGCGTTCTTTTGGAAATTTACCGATTGACCAATGGGCTGAATTGGAAGAATAGATCAGGGTGGGGAGGTTCAGGCTCTCATTGCCAGTGGTATGGAGTCGGGTGCAGTAATATAACAAATGGACGAGTTACAGTTTTGAGTCTCGATGCTAACAAACTGCAAGGTACACTTCCTCCAACGCTGTGGATGTTGGGAGATTTGCAAGGACTTTGTTGCGGTGCAAATCCTGGACTTTACGGAGAACTTAAGGTAAATAAGTAAGAAAGTAACTTTGCATGGAAACAGAGCTACCCCAATAAACCATGATAGAGCAAATTAAAACCCTGGAGTAACGAAATTAGAATATTAAAATTCTAAGTCGTTAACTGTAATGTTTTAGGGCGGGTTTTTTTGCCTGTAATTTTGCATCCTGTTTTCAAGAGATGCAATGCTCCCTCTCCTTTTTCACACCACACGGTGCGCTCGTTACTGACTTAGCTTGCATTTCACGAATCCTTAAATATGGCTTCTTGCGTCATTATTCGATTGGTATCATCATTTATATCTGCCAACCAGGACCTATCACTGAGCTATATTAGCATGCTCAATCATTTTCTGAATAGTTTCGCGACCCTTGCCTGCTTCGACCAAGTTAGTTTTTGTTCGAGTATATACTCGATGGAACAACTGATGGAAGGCCGGGTAAGTGACCGTGGAACACTTGGAGAAAGCTCATTGGTCAAGTAACATTCGATATCAGTAAGTTGGTTGACAATGCATGTTTTGTAACTAATATGATTTCTATTCCTAGGATTTTCTTTCTTCTAATATGACGAGGCTGATGAGGCTAGATTTTGCCAGCTCTAGCCTTGATGGTGATATTCCAGATGAAATCATTGCTGGGTTAAAGTCTTTGGTAAAACTTCAGTTAAGCGGAAACAAGCTTGGCGGAGTTATTCCACCATCTATAGGTCAGCTGTCTGAGCTTCAGGTACTGAGTCTGGGAGAAAACACCAAAATTAACGGCAAAATTCCTGAGGGATTCGGTAAACTTTCAAAACTTTGGTTCCTCGACTTTGAATCTTTGGGAGACCTTGATACCACAATAAAACCGTTTCTAAATCTGACATCTTTGCGATTCCTGCACATGTCAGAAAGCGGTATGCATGGAACATTGCCAGATGACTTCGGATATATCTTTCCCGGACTACTTGAGTGTCTGCTCGGCAGAAACCAACTTCATGGTAGCATTCCATCAACATTTGGAAAAATAACTGGCCTTGAAAATTTAAATCTGGCCAGAAACAACTTCAGCGGGAAGATACCGAGAGGTTTGGGCGAGCTCGGAAATTTGGGGGTTCTTGATCTTTCGATCAACTTGCTTTCCGGGTTCGAAGAACGATTCATTTTTAATTCTAGCAAGCTAACCCTCTTAAGTATATCACAAAATAGAGGTTTTGCCACGCTGTTGTCCCGAGTTTTCGAAACACTGAAACCGGCTGTGAAGTCTCTTAGAAAACTCGACGTCAGCGGTTGTCGTTTGTATGGAAATATTCCAAGCGCCTTATGGTCGTTTACGAATTTAATTCAAGTTAACGTCAAAAACAATTCGTTATCTGGACCGTTACCGTCGCCCGACGACAACATGCTGTTTCTTTTTACGCTTGATTTTTCAGGAAACAACCTTACTGGGGGTATACCTGAACCATACGCTAAGCTGTTGGGTCTTCAAACCTTAGACATCTCTCGCAACCCAGAAATGAGGTACGCCAAGAGTGATTCGTCAAAAATTCCCAGATTTGCGACGACGGACAATAGCACTATGATACGGGAGAACGAAGACGATCGTTACACGTGTCCTGTGATCAGGTTTAGGTACAACAGTGGCATTATTAAGATGGATTCGACGTATTACGACAAAGTATTTTGTGAGTGTGACGAGAATTACTATGGAACCAAAGGACGTTGCCTGCATTGCATGTCCGGAGGATCGTGTGGCAACCGTTCTGTCATGCGAATCACTTCTGGATACTGGCCTTCTCCCTCGTGGCACAACACAACGCATCTCGTATCGTGCCAAAACACTGGAGAAATAAGCACGGTTTGTACTCCGACCGGAGAATGCAACTGCTCAGTTAACTCGACTAGAGATGGAGATCTTTTTACGGTTTGTGATCCGGGATGTATTTGCAGTAAGGGAAGTGGCGGCAGGTATTGCTCAAAGTGCAAGAGAAACTATTACAGCCACAGTGGTGATTGCAATGAATGTCCGTCGAAAGATTCTGACAAAATCGAAATTCTTCTTCCTATAATAATCGCTGGGTTCTTGGCTTTGGTTTTTGTCATATGGTTAGTTTACTCTCGGAAATCTTTTAAATGGTCTGTCGTTGTTGTTTTCATGCAGATTCTTTTCGTTACCCTTTTACATGTTTTCAATTTTGTTCCATCCTGGTTGCTTGAGGTTAACATCGTGGTTTTCATTCTTGCGCTAGTTGGACACGGCAGCCGAGCTCGCGGTGTTCTTAAGATTTCATTGTTTTATTTCCAGTTGCTCGACGCCATGATAGGAAACTACCACCGTTGGCCTTCCGGTGTGCTGAAGATTCAGCGATATTTTAGCAACGTGTTTAACTTTAAGTTTGAAGGCCTCGAGTGTTATTTTCCAAATCTGTTCTCCCCGGTTGGAAAATTTTCCTCCCTTCTGTTGCTACCACTTGGCGTGATAGTTGCAGCGTTTCTTGTGTTTCTTATCATCGTTATCGTCTGCAAGATTTTCCACTTTGACGATGAGAAAATCAAGAAAGCCAGGCACTTTTCCTTCAATATAGTAATTATGTTTCTAAATCTCACCTACTTTCCAATCGTCAAGCGTTCTTTCTCGGCCCTCGCACCTTGTTTGGAAGACATCGACCGTCGGTACATGGGCCAGAATCCTTGGGTCGATTGCCCAAGTCACGAATATAGAGTCATGCGAATCCTTGGTTACTGTTCCTTAGGAGCGTATATTTTAGGCGTTCCTTTTATCTTGTTCCTTCCCCTCTTGATCTGCGCTTTTTGGAACAAAGGTAATGGAGTTAACCGTGATGGAGCTGGCGGTGAAGGAAATGAAAGGGACTTTTGGATGGGCTCTTTGTATCTGGCATATAAAAAAGAATTTCGAAGTTATATTGAAATCTTTTTCCTGCTTCGCAGAGCTGTGTTTGCCGCGATCCTCTCCTTCATTTCGTACCATTCGCCCTTTCAGGTGCCTGTTTTGACGGTTGGCTTTTTGATTTGCCTGCATTTCATCGTGGCGTGCAAGCCCTACGAATGCTCGTCATATTTGAAAGTTAGCCGCTTTAAGGTGGACGTGGAAAATTGTCTCGAATGCTTGATTCTCGTCCTGTTGTTGCTATCGTTCGTTTTCCTCGGGCAAGATTCGGCACGAAACAGCCAAAATGTGGCGTTGCTTTGGCTGGTTATTGCGGGCAACAGCCTTGCTACGGTCGTATGTATCGCCGCAGCTGTTATGAGGTTGGTCAGAAAAGAATAGCAACCGACTCCTCCGGCAAGCGCTCAAGCTTCTGAAACGCAGAGCCTTCTTTCACAAAATGAGCAAACGGGTAGTAATTATGGTTCTACGGATAGCGCAGCATCTGCTGCCGAAGATGGGCAATAGTTTGATCTCCAATTTTCAAAATCGACGAGTTAGAACAAATAGCGAGTTAAGATGCGCCAAATCTACGACGTGGACGTGACATGAAAACAGCTGCTAATCTTAAAATATCTTTTACATTCGACTGACATTGTTTACCAAAAGGAGCCAATAATTTTTATCCCTGCATGTTGGGTAACTGTAGAAATAAAGGCGACATTACTTCACATTCGCGTCATAGATTTGGTACATCTTCAACTCGCTGATATAGCTAATTTCCCAGTTCACTGGAATTTCGAGAAAACGACACAAACTTATGAAAATTACATATATTTCTGTAAACAATGAGCACTGCCGTAGTAAGAACAAAGAATGTTCAATGCTCCAAGCTAGAGTAGTTTATTATTTAGGTTTTGAAATACGCGATCAATTTTATGAACTAGAATACTTATATGTGATTTGATGGAAGACTTCATCTTGTGACAGTACATCTAATAATAGAACGGAACGATGCTGGGGGAATAGAGTAGTTTGACATGGAGCGATAGAGATAAGTAAAGAAGCGAACTTTGAGCCGGAAGAATAAAGAGAAATAATAAACTGAGACAGTTTGAACATTTAACGGCCAGCGATTTTAATCATCCTTTCTCTGATAACGATGTGCCGGCAATTTTTTAGCTGAAACAATTATTATGATCTAATATACGTGTTTGTAAAATAGCATTTTAGGCGCATTTTAGAATGCGAAACACTTATTTAGCTCTTTAATGGGCTGGTAAATTCCAGGTCGCACTTCTGCGTATTAACTTGTAATTTATAGTTTCTTAAAAATTGTATTATAACGTTGTCGTTTTTAGAAAACCGAAAACGGCCTCTCGAGTTAATTACCGTAATCTGTCTTCCAACCCTCCGCCCCTCGGTAATAATGCCATGTTCATTAATTAAACGGATTTATCATATAAATCCTTGAGATCAGGGCGAGGATTAGTTCTTAAACCGGCTTTCCACTAGCGATATTCTTCGCGCGAATCGTCATTTTACTTTTGTTCCAGAGCTCTCAACTGCAACCATCTGGAACAAATTGCTCAAATACAAAAGAGTAAAGTCGCTTCGCGCGAAAAATATCGCTAAGTGGAAAACGGGCTTTAGATTAGGTTTATGGTTGATTAAGATCAACCTTAATCCTAATTTAGGATATGAAGTTGTGTTTAAATCCCATCACGGAATCATGTCATTTTCTCAACTTTTCGTGGAAGCACAATGTTGATAATGCGGTACGTATTCTATTTTTTTTTTTAATAAACATGGTTTCTGCGATGAAGATGGAGGGAATGTATTATGCAGGTAATTTGGATAACTAATCACAACATCAAATACATATAACTATGTTGCCATAGCGCTGCTAGATGCTCGCTTTTGTTTACGCTCGCGAAAGAGGTGATCGAAAAAGATTTGCTTTGTTGAGTGGCAAATTTACGCAGAGGATTTTTTATGCTGTTATCATCTAAGAAGTATGTAGTTTATACACCAAATATATTTGTATGTAACACCATAATTTTTAGGTCATATTCCCAATTTTACGACTTAGTCTCAGCGTCGTTAAGTTAGCGGATTAATTTGATGTTTATTCGTATGTAACGTCGCCTAATCTTTAGTATAATAAATGTGTCAGAATTTTAATAATATGTCAAAAATATTTTCCGGCTTGTTACTGCAGACATTTATAAAAGTATACCTTGCTAATTTGTGAATATTGACATTTATGTGATCGGTTTTGATACATATGTGTTAGCCGAGGGCAATATTATGACAGTGTTCCCACAAAACCATGCTACATGTATCTACTGGTCCTGGTCCTAGACCTAGGAAACCAATGAGACTTCAAACAATTTAGATTTTTATTCCTCATTTTGAACAAGTGTAGCTTGTACCAAATTCTTTTTCAAGAGAGGTTTCAAGTTGTTTTATTTGAAACTCAGCTAGCTCAGTGTGATAATTCACATTTTGTGTTGTCAAGACAAGAATGCTGTATATAAAACCTTTCTATAAATTAACATTTGCAAAACTTGAAGTAGCATGAGAATCTTAGCAGCAATATTTTAATACAAGCTATTTGTTGCCAGATGATGACCGAACAATTAATTTCAGTATTCATTTCAGTATTAATTTCAGTATTAATTTCAGTTTCCTTCCACTCTGGATGACTACAGTCAGGATTGAGAAAAGCATACTTCGAAGTTCGAATAGCCTAGCTAGGTTCCAGGCAGCACAATAGCTAAATATGCCATATTTGGGTTAAATGCTAGGCAACAAGCTAAGAGATGCACCTAGAAGTCACACAACAGGGATCCAAGTTCTCAGGGGCCAAAATATGGTGTTTGTCTATCAATTTTGTACACCCTCAATAGACCTTATGCATAATGATGTAATAAGCTGTGACACCTGCAGGGAATTCTGGTTTTAGTAGTCACAGCGGGAAATTTTGAAGTTTGAATTTTCGCTGTGACTACTAAAACCAGAATTCCCTGCAGGCGCCACGGCTTTATATACATCATTATGCATTGGATTTAAATGAATTTAAACCTCACTCTGGAAAACTCTGCCTTCCTTTGCGAGCAAAACTGTTGCCCATTGTTTTATCAATCCATCACCTTATAGAATATTTACATTATATATATATATATATATATATATATATATATATATATATATATATATTATATATATATATATAATTGTTTTTATAATGTAGGTAGAACTTAATAATAATAAAATGTGCAAGCTTTTATTTAATTTTTATCACAAAATTCTCACTGTATTACTGGCTATTTCCTGGCTATAGCAAATCACCAATATCATTTATCAACCTTTCTCACCTCTATTTTTGGGTTCCTATTTTCACCAGCATAGGATTGTATGCATGTAAATGCATGCATAGAATATGAAGGTCTAGATATATAAAAGAATGATAAGTGGGTTTATTCACGCGGAAAAAATATCCTTACACCCCCTAAATATTTCATTCTTGTAATAAAAACTAAAAATCAAACCATGAGAAAGGTTTTTTTATCGCATTTCTTAATAATCTTTGATACCACGGGCGCGTGGGAAAACATCTACTCTTAAGCCTAATTTTAAGAAATATTTATCGGAATTTTTTGTGCATTTAATCGTCAATTGTACGCAATTGTAGCGTTTGCATGAAACGTTTTGCCAGTCGTCATAGAGTATTGATATTTTTCCATAAATAAAATTAAAATTGGTCCAAATTCAAAACACTGAAACAAAAATAGAACTAGCGGGTGAAACTATATATTATATTCCTTGAAAATTTCAAAGTATAGCTGCGGAGCTTTTACTATAATACTAATGTATGATTAAAATAATCACTAAGGGAAGAGGAAAATACAAAGAGTAGCACTAAAACAAAAAATAAAAACTTTAAAAATTAAAAAAAACTTACTTTTCAAAGACGACAATGAGACGATGAAGTTTCCCTCCTTTTTCAATTTTTCAGGTGCACGTGAAACAGAAATACTTCATGTTATTTTGCCCTACAGAGTACCGTCACATCTCTATTATTCTCACTATTCTTCTTGTTATACGTATTTTTTAAAGCGATTTCATTACGATTGTTTTTTTTAAGCCAAAGGGCTGTATGGGTTGTGGAGGTTCAAAGTCTCAGCCACTTCTTGCATCGCAACCTAAACTTGCTCCAAACAAGTGTCCCCCATCACCCCCGACCCAGGATCATCCACCCAGTACCCCAAGCAAGCATTCCCCCTCGTCCCTACCTGCTCCTGCTGAAACCAACAACAATCACCCTCTTCCCAATCAGACTGCGAAAGATCAAGAACCCGGTTCAGAAACAACTTGTTCTGATCTCGATTCCTTGGAAATCTCTTTTGAAAAAGCTGCATCCCTGCGCCTCGAAACACCGGCACAAATGTGGGCCGCCGTGCGGAAAACGTGCTCCCCGAGTAAGAAGTGGACGATAGAAAAGAATAAAAGTAGGCGAGGGTGGAAAACCATTCGTCTGTTTGTGTCCTCGACCTTCAAAGACTTTCATGTTGAGAGAGAAGTTTTAGTTAAAGAGGTGAGCTTTTTGAGCTTTGCTTTTTGAGATGTCAAAACACTCGTGATCCGAACTTAAACAAGCCTATAAATGTTGCTTAATCTTATCCAAATACGTCAATTTTTGTATATCTTATCCAAATTTCATTCAAATTAAACTAAAATTGGGCCGTGTCCTTTAAATTTTGGGGATATTCGGCTTACTGTCAGACAAACAAACAAATCAACTTCGCAAGTGACTGCTTTCCCTTTTATACAAATTTTAGTAGCTGAATTTTAAAATGGCTTGCGGTCTTAGATTAATATTATATTATAGATTTTTTAAGCCTGCTTTTGCCTTCCCATTATAACTTAGCATATATAAGCACAAACATTCAAATATATGCTTTTCAAATTTCTTTTATCTTAGCTAATGACTACCGCTTGGAGTTTTGTGCTTATTCCTTGTGTTTATGTCAATGGTTGAGTCGCACGTTACATTCCCTTTTATTGTTTTGCTTTTGCCTTTCTTTGTGCTTATGTCACAAGAGAAGACCAAGCTTTAGTCGAACGCACGCGCTCATTAAATCTATAGGCAACCCCCCCCCTGAGGGAGGGCATGCGTCATATTTTTTTAATTGCATTATCGGTTAAAGGTGTTTCCCGATCTTCGTTTGTGGTGTGAACAACGAAAGCTTCATCTCGTGGAGTGTGATCTCAGATGGGTACTTGCATTTTTATTATTTCCTTATTGCAGTTTGTATGTATTGTTGAATTATTATTTCCTATACGTCTTCAAAAGTTTCAACATTTGAGTTTCCCGTTTCCGCTAGTATATTGACAAGTTTCTACTGTTACAGGGTGTGCCGAAAGACTCTACTTCGGAGGAAACAATTCGAATTTGTTTGGAGGTTCTTGATCGTTGTCACGAAGAAAATGTTTTACCATATTTCTTAAATTTAACTTGGTAAGATTCAATTCAAGATCTGGTGATAAAACCACAGCAACAGTTGCATGTATAGGGTACAATATCCCCAATGTTTGAGAAATATCTTTTAAGGGCAAAGACATGAGTTAAGAGTATGTTACTTAAGCTCAAACTGCACATGCAGTGCAGGATATTGTTTTGCTGATAATAGGTGCTTAAGATCCTTCTCCAAAAGTAGAGTACCAAGAGTACTTTTAAGGAACTATAGAACTATAAGGAACTATTCAGAGAGAGATCGAAGTTCTGCCTAAAGAACTTAGAACTCTTTCTAAAGATCTCTTTGTGTGTGCTTTGACAGCGAGAGGGCTGGTTGGATACCAACGTTTGGCGATCTTACGTACAACCTTGCTGCTCAGTACGGATGGGTTTACGGCCTCTCTGTTACAGAAATGGAAATTGTTCATGGTGCATTTAGAAAATGCAATCCAAATGGTAAGTAAGCTGGGGATTTTAAGCATAATGAGCCTCAGTGTTTGAGTATGCCTGATATATTTACTATGGTTTAAGCTAGTGCCTTTTATTGTTTGAGTTGTGGATGTATATAGGACTCCTCAAATATAAAGATTTTCTTTCCTTCTTTAGCTTTGTTTTTGATTCGCGATGGCGAATTTGCTTCAAAACTGCCAAAAGATGTAAAAGAGGCCTTTGTCGACGCAGACTCTTTCGCACAAAAAAAACTTGTGAAATTAAAACAGGTTATTTGCGAGCAATTCCCGGTAAGGATTTCTTCGTTTAGGCGTGTAGATCAAATAATGTTAGTTCGGTTGAGGTTTTCTACGGAAGTACCGAAAAAATGGGAGGTTGCTGCTGATATTTGATGAAACTGAAAGTGAAACCGATACCAGCTAAAAATTTTGAAATATACAAGACAAAACAAAATCCGAAGATTACCATCTTGAAACATAAAATATATAGCTTATATGATTTTTCCATTTTATTACAAAATCATCATCGGACTAAGCTGTTTCCCGGACACAATTAACGATTCAGTTGAATGAAATCAGCTGCGGTTTGTCTTTTCTAACCATGCATGCATTGACCATGGATTACTCACTAAAAATCTTCGGAATATTTGTCAGTTGGGTGGTTTTCCAAAGACAACGTCATGAACTGGATTCAGCTGTATAACGACTGAGTTCATTGATTGGACAGAATGTTATATATATTTAAATACATATATATATATATATATATATATATATATATATATATATATATATATATACACATGCAGTGTATTTTACTGTCTATTTCTTGTAGGAGCCAAACATCCATCATTACCAAGTTGAATGCAGTGATGAGCAGGTCGAGGGAATGACTGAGAGAGATGTGAAACTGAAGGGCCTGAGCGGTCAGGGCTCTTTCTTTTATAAAACAGTAAGTAGACATTAAAGCGTTCAGTGCTTCCACATTTTATTTCAATAACCAGGCGATCTGAAATAGCGTGAAAGGACGGAAAATAGGTAATCGATTGTGACAATTATTATCTCTTGAAATATGATTTATATTCTAAATCTGAATACTGAAGTACCTTACGTTACACGAATGAAAATCATCATTTTGCATCGAAACGATTTTCTGCGTGTTCTAGGTGTACGAATTCTTTAAGACAAGGATAGAAGAACAATATCCCCTTGATCCAACCCCAGAGGACCCACTCGAGGCCCAGAGGACTGCGCACGAGGTATTTACGTTGGACGTTAATATGCCAATAGCCAATAGGGTCATGTTTTTAAAAAGAGGTTTATAAATATGCATTAATAGTTGAAAATTTTGTTATGCCGTACAAAGCTATGCGATCCTTTTGAAGATTATTTTGTACATTTTTATCTGCATTGCACGGTGATTTAATGCGGTCTTGTGATGAGTTCATTTTTGTTTGATTTTTTAGTCATTTCTTGATATCAGGTCGCAGTGTGTTCTGGGAAGAGACGGCGTACTTGCCAAGGTAATAAATGCCCTGACATGCTATTGATTTCCATCGACAAAAATGAACTAAATCAAACTATTATAATTAAACTGAATAATTGAACTAGTCCTGTGCTGCGTTTGTTAATTAGAACTGAAGAGCCATCTCTAAACACGTTGTCGTTATATTAGATTTTTTGTATTAATGAGATTATATGGTGGCTAGAAAAGACAATTTCATTAGCTTATCAGATGTGTGGTCAGGGCAAAATAAACAGTCCAAGTCTCAAGATTTGAAGGTTTCTTCATCAATTTAGACTGTTTAAAAACTTCATTTAACCAATTTTCGCCACTTAATAACTAATACACAGTTGCTTGTTTGTCGCAACATTTACTTCCCTTACGATTTGCGTTAACCATTTAACGAAAGGAAAATTTCAACATTGATATTTTTATTATTTTTGTTATTTGTTCATAACTAAATTAAAGTAAAGAAAACCTAAAGACCAAGATTAGATGTTCATTGAAATATCTTTCAGATCGAGGAGTATATTCGTAGTAATCCCAGGAATGCTCCGTTGTTGCTTGTTGGGAACGCAGGCTCAGGAAAGTCGGCTATTATGGCAAAGTCAGCGCACGACGCCGTAGAAAAGTCGCATAATTCGACGGAGATCAATTTCCCCAGGTATGTTCTAGAAAGGCGAGAAGTATACTACTTTTATAATCGAGTGTGACTGCACTTTAAAGACGTTGATTGTAATGTGTATATTTTGGCTTTTGAATTGGTTTACATTGTGAAAGAGCAAATTTAGGAAATGTCTGTACGTTGGATGATTCTTTTCATAGAGTGAGAATGGCTTTTTATTCTTCTTCCCGTCTATATAGACAAATGTTAAAGTGGAAAGTTTACTTTCATTTCGTCGGTGCCACCCCTGGCTCAACCGACCTGGCATTTTTCCTTCAACGTTTAACAAAAGAACTTAATCCCAGAAAGGTAATGACGTCTGCCAATTCCACATTATGTGGCGTATTTTTGCCATCATTTACATGAAGTACAATATTTGTCTACGGCATGCGTGGGATACCACAGTTTCACGATAGAGATTTTAACATTGGAACTTACTGCAAACAACCATTTTACTATATTCTCAGAAGAAATGTTAATGGTTGTGGCTGCAAAAAAGGCAAAACCTACTTTTCACATTTGACTTTGAAGATTTCTGTTTCCGGTCTGCCGTGAGCAACTGTGTTACTCAAGACTTTCCAAACATCTCCCCAAAGCCAAAAATAAAACACTTGGAGAAGTATAAAGAGTTACCAACCCAAATAACAAGAATTTTATTTTTTTTTCTTCTAAGACGGACGTGGTCAGTGATCTGGACTCTCTTGTACAGTTGGCGAATTCGCTACTTTCTAACCCGAATACTCCGCCAACGATTGTCTTTGTTGATGCAATAAATCAGGTACTCCTAAAGTATGACAGTCTATGTGAAACAAGCTACATATCATCTAGGTCAAATGCAGGGTGCAAAAAGTTACTTTTCAGAACAATTTTGTGGCCGTGGTCGCATGTTCTTAGGTGTGGGCGTGATGTTTCTATCAATGCTCTAGTTCTTCAATTAAGTTATATTCATTCATATTTAACGTGTTCTTGACGGGAAAGTTTTCGTTCCTTCATAGATGGACAGTGATAAACTGCAGTATCTAACGAGATGGCTGCCGGAGGTCGTCTCTCCGAATGTTCGCATTGTTCTGTCCATGATTGACGAAACGGATTGTCATCGTTTACTGAGGGCGTACAAAACGAACCCTACGGAGATTGTCGTTGGTGAACTGGATTACGACTCGAGAAAGGTAACAGTGGCTCAGGTTTTGATGACTTGAATAGTAGAGTTCCGATTGGAAAAATATATTGAGAATGGGAAAATATGAAATTCATTTTCAGTTTGGCAGATAACAAGGTGGCATGTAAGATGATAGTCTTCGTATTATCTCTTTCAGGCAATAGTCGTGAACAATCTTTCTCGTTACAATAAACGGCTTGACGATGAACAGATGAAGCTTCTTCTTAGTAAGAAAGGTTCAGCCAATCCCTTGTGGTTGTCTCTCGCTTGCGAGGAACTTCGCGTTTACGGAGTATTTAGGATGGTCAATGATAAGATTCAGTCTTTATCTGATGATTTACTAAGGTACTGAATAAGACGGCCTGCCTTAAGGCATTCGTCCCATATGTTTGTGGCTGATAAAACTTGTCTGTTTGGTTTGCCAAGTTTTAGTGAGTATTATGACGATATACAGGAAGTATTAAACCCAAGCTAACCGGGTCATCTTAGATGGCGGGAAAGGACTGGGACTAGTTATGATATATAAGTCAATTTCTCGGTTAGAACAGCTTAATATCTCATGAAGTATTCTATATTTCGGGTGCAATTTATGTCAGAGCTATAGTTTTTACAACCAAACCAAAATTTCGACTTGTTTTAAAAAATAACAAAAGATATTATCGTTAAAATACTACAGAATGGATTTCTATAAAACCGGCTAAAATCCTGTTTTCGCGGTGGTAGTGAAGAGGGAAATAAATTGTTAATCCGAATTAATTTTTTTAGTCTGGAGGAACAAGTGTTGACTCGTTTTGAGGAGGAGAATGGCGGGCAACTAGTCATAGCAACGGTTTGTTTATTGGAAACCTCGCGTCACGGCCTCTTGGAAACCGAACTCCTAGAGCTTCTAGCCGATGAGAGCAACTTAACCCCCCGGAATACAAGGCGGGCGATGACGAAGTCTGCAGTACGAAAGCGGAAAATTCGTCCCAGGGTGCCGGCATGAGTGACGCGACCGAGGCTCTGGCTGATAAACTACAAGAGCAAGTTAACATTGCGTATGTTCAAACTGCAGAGTCTAAGGACGAGGCGAAAAAGAAGGAAGAGGCAGAAGGTAAGGGTTATGGTATAATGATATGTATATTCACCAATGATCTTTATAATTTCTTTGGACGGGCTGTTCATTTAATATTTCGTTCAAAGACAATCAGTGTGGGCAGTTGTTAAATTCTAGCTTGTTTAAAAGGGGTTTTTAGCTGATATTCTTTTCAATCTGCAACAACAACTGTAGAAGCTAGTTCATCCCAGAAACGCCGGCGAATTCACCTGCCAGCGGTCAAGTGGGCCATAGTGTACCGCGCTTTGAAGCCGCTGTTGAGACCGTGCGGGGACTTGGGCGAGGGAAGATTGGACTTCTATCATCGATCAATCAGTAAAGCCGTAAGAAGAAAGTAAGTGCGATATTAAACGATTTTTTCTGTTCCGTATTAGACCTGCAGCGGTGTTGCTGAGCTAAATAGAGGGCTACTGCATGCTTTGATTTTCGTTTGTTACTCTGCCTACAGATATTTTAGCGGCGACGAGGCTTACAAGAAACACATGTACACGTTTTGGCACGGACGTCTTGCAGAGTTTTTTGAACACTGCGAGGATTTCGATCGCAAATCTGAGGTTAGTTCTACTTCGATGGATTAAATTGGCATGGTTTGGGCTTGAAAACATTCTGTTCAAGGACAGAACTTCTATCATTTTTGCCCGCTAGGAATTACCGTATCATCTTGAACAATTGCTGGACAACAACCGTTTGACTCGTTGTCTTCTTGAGTGGCCCGTTTTTGAGCGTCTGTTTTCTGAAGACTTCAGCGTTGACTTACTACGTTCCTGGCAAAAGGTTTGTTTTAGCTGGTATTTTGTTTCACGGAATCATTGCCCATTTCCTGTCTATTTTATATCCTGCTATTTGTTTTTTAATAATATTGCTTCGTCGAGTAGGTATTTTTCGTACAAAGAAAGAGTTGTGCATAAAAATGTGCATATTTTCTTATGAAAATTAGAGGAGTCAATTAGAGGAGTTCTTTTTATATCTATTGACAATAATTGTTTGACTTCTTTGTTCAACCACATTAAAAGTGGCCTCATTCTGTTTTCTTCCAAGAACTTATATAATAGCTATATTTATGCATGCAGTTCGCAGAATTCAAAATAAAATATCAAAATGTGTCGCTAGCAAACTAGCCCGTTATAGGTCTTTTTCTGTTATACTATACCTGTGTTTTCTTTTCTTTTTATTTTACACTCACAACTTGTATATTTTCATCTCGTTTTCTAAAGGCTGGCGGCTATGCAGCAGCTTCAAATCTCTACCGAGAATCACTCAATATCCTCGAAAGTTCTGGTGCGTCCGCCGCCGAAGTTGCCGAGCGGAAGTTTATGGTCATAACGTTCTTGTAAGCAGGCGGATTGCGTCATATTTACTGTTCATATTCATTGGTAAATGCGTCATATTAACATTTTTAAATGCGTTTTTGTCGCAGAATCCAAGCCGGACAATACAAGGAGTCTCTTGAACTTCTGGAGGAACTCAGAAAGATTGAAGAAGAGCAGATGGGTGCCAGAACTGAGAAAATGGCAGAAATTTATCAACTCATGTCCAAGACAAAAAGCGAGGTACGATAAAAATGTCTTCTGAATGATTAAAAATATCATGCATTTGGAATCATGAAATACAGAAGGAGATAAAATTTAATAAGAATACGCCGTGATTTTTTGTGAAAATTCCGAATGCATCAAAATTTGGCACTGTATGTGACATAGAAATCGTGTTATCACTCTATTACTAAGGCAAAACATTAAAAATCACGCTCACGTGAAAATACCGCAAAAGATTCGTTGTGTTTGAAGTGTTTGAGATCTCCCACCCAATTAGTTTGAGTGTTTTTTAGCCTTCAGATTACAGGCGCGATATTATATACTTAGAACCTAACTTTACAAATTTAATTTTGCATCGATACTCTCAATTTTGGACCTTCAGATTTTGTATTTAGAACCTCGATTTGGAACTCGTAGATCGTAATTATGTTCCCTTTGTACAATCACTTCTGTTTTAGATTGTCAAAAACTACAACTTTGTGACTAAAAATCAACTCAAAGAAGATCAGGAGATTGTTAGATTTTGTCAAAAATGCATCAGTTACCGAGAGAAGTTGACTGGGGACGAGAATGAGGTAACAGTTAAGATTGAGTATTTTCTAACTGCTCTGACATTCATTTGTACACAAAATGGGAATTAATACGAGCCACACAACCATGTACCTATTCTTGGGTTTCATGTGACGTCATAATTCCAGGGGGTCATCTCGAAATCGAGACACGGTATAAATTGGAGTGAGTTAAATGTTCACTATATGCATGTGTTGGCTTTGTGCTTCGTAGCAAATATACGCAATTTCGTATAATTTGTTCACTCCTGTTCGGCATAAGGATCGAAGCAATTAAGGTTGACCCCATCAAATCACTATGAAAACAATACGTGAAACCCACCAATTGCACAAATGTTTTACCCCTTGTCAATATTTTTTTTCTTTTCTTTTTCGCAATTCTGTTCGTTGCCCTAGTTTGTTTGTTGTGTAACCCTGTGGTGTTTGCTTTTGTTTGTTAGATTTGATTGGTTGGGCTAACGTTTTTTGATTGTTTATGAGTTCGATTCGATCATTTCAAATGTTTGTTTTGTAATGTTCAAGATGTGTTTCGTTCTCGTAGTTTAAGTCTGCAATGGTGAGACTACTCATAGCTCATCATCTAAGCATTGTCGCCGAATTGGAACACAGCCAAAGCAAGCGAAACGAAGCTTTTGCCACAATTGAACGTGCTATTGAAGTATTTAAAAAGGTAGTGCATGCGGGATGGTCTAAAAGGATACGCAAGTCCAACTAAGTACAGAGTCCTTATTCGTCTTTCGTGAAAACATGCGATATTTTTTCACGCCCAGGACCTACGAATCCTACATCAGGAAGTTTCTTAACGAAAATGAATCACGAGCAAACCTCGTCAACAATAAACCGGATTCGACCTCTTTAGTTGGACATGCGTAAACGTAGATTACAATTTCTGCATGTTATTTATTATCTATTTGCAGAATAAATTGGGCAATATATACATTATTATGACGCACCATCTCAGTACAATATGTGATATTGAAAGCTCGAGTGATGTGCGAACTCAGGCTTTTGCTTCAGTCGAGAACGCAATAGAAATCTTTAAAAGGGTAATATTCTTTTGCTTCCATCGCCCGTAAAAGTTAAATACCCCCAATGCAGTGTTCTTTATAGGCCAGAACCTCCAAAAGAATTCACTAATTAGACCCATGATTTGTGCTAGGAGTCACCGGTAAAGCTGTACAGTTTTATTCTATCTGGATCGATAATCCAAATTTGATGCATGCGGGGCAACAAGGGAAACTTGATCAAGTTTTTCCACGCACAATCTGCAAATCCTCGATTTAACAATGTGACATTATACACATGACTCAAATTTAACATTTACCTGATGTTTCGAAGTAGCTATGTTCTAGCTGTTGCATGCTAATTTCACACAGTTGTCTCCTGAAAAGATTTTTAGTCGTTTGTCACCGTTTACAATCGTTTAATTGCATTTGTTTAGCAAAATGATATGGGTCACCTTGCTGAGGCTATCATGACGAAGTCCTTTATAAATCCCCGTCTAGCTAAACATTTTGCGGAAAAAGAAAAGGTATACTGTGCGATTTGAATTGTCAAATAATTGCATACAGGTTAACTTTGCAAGCCACGGCAATTTGTTTAAATTGTCCCTTGGCTAGGGGAAGAATTTGCTTCAGGATTAGGAGATTGTGTTTGAAAATTGACTCGAAACATTATCACGACTTTGTCGTTTTAGATGCTGATGACGGCCAAGGAACTGTGTGCCAAGACGTACGGTGAAAAACACATGTTAATGTTGCGTCTTTATCTCAATATTGGTATTTTATATGAAGATAATCGAAATTTCGAGACAGCCTACGATTACTTTGTAAAATGGCATGATACGTGCATAGAGGTATGGTGCAACTTCACTTTAGCTGCTTTTCTTGTCATTTTTCCGTCGCTCATTCCGATGAAGTAGCGTTACTATACAAGAGGAGATTTAGATAAGTTGCCGATTCTTTAGTAACTCTCTCATCTGTAAATTGCTCCTCCAGAAACGCAATAACTACAAAAGTTGTTATAAAAGTCCATTTTGTTCAGTTGGTGTCAAACGCTAAACTGTGCTCCACTCTTTCAGGTGCTAGGGCCCAGTCACCCGAAGGCAAAACGCGCTCTGGATACATTAAAAGAGCCAACATACGTAAGAATTGCGAGCATGAGAGAGCAATTAGCTGCTGGTACAGCTTAGAAATGAAAAAGATTACCACGAATGAACATTTGCAATACTAAACCGGCTAAAGCGATGCAGCTAGTTAAGGTCTCCGTGGTTACCTGGGCGTTATTATTCAAACGTGAGAAATTTTTCAGGGATTTTAAGATTTTGATATAATCATGACAAAATTACGGGAAAATTTGTTGCGTTTAAATTATCACGAAAATTTGGGCTGCGCATTACCATCGTATATCGTGATTATGCAATCCTATAATTGCCTTCAAACATGGAAATAACTCATTGTAATTTTATAACCTTAACAGCGAAAGCTGATTAATTGTGTAAATTGTATAAGGATATGACATTTCTTATTTATTTATTTGTTATTATAAGCTGTTACTGTGAATTTCAGTCCGTTTCTCATTGTTTTTTATAATCTATATACTTTAGAAATGAAAGCATTTCCCGTGTTTCTGCACAGTTATAAACACGCGTGAGAGTTTGGGAGAACGAGAAATAACCATGCATGCAGTGGATCTTTAAGTGATGTTTCCAACGTCGTGTTTCATTAGAAAACATGCATTTAAAACAATCAGCTCGGGTGACTCACTATCTTTTTTTATTCGACTTTGGCACACAAAACAGGCTTTACTGTTAAGTGTCATGATCATTGCAAGTGCATTGTCCGTTACCGTTGGAATGTTCTTTGGGGTAATAAAAGTAAAAATATAAGATAGTATGACGTAACCGCATTGACTGGGTTATATGGTCAGTTATGGACTGTCTATAGTCAGTCAACGGCATTTCCGTTTCGGCAAACTCTTGAAGTTATATGTTTCCTGTTGTTGACAGAGGTAATGTGTACGACTTAAATATCTTCGCAAAAACGTCTGATCAAAAACTTTGTCGCAAATATTGACAGATGCTTGATTTTTTTGAGAAATAAAATAATGAAAAATTATACGATGAAAACCATTGGGTTGTTCTTGTAGCGGGAGTTGAGCCTTGGTGAGTGGTAACTACCTTGGCAAATAAGAACAAGACACTGCGACACTGCGTCAATCTGGTGCCAGGAAACGAAATCCTAGCTTGTTGTAGTAACATGAAGTATCCGCGGTTGATATTTCACGCTGACCACCTGTAGAAACAAAACCACTGATTGCACTGAACAAAACTCAAAGAATTTAAAAAACAGAACAATTTTTAAAAGGTTTAAAATTCAAATAAAATAATTTACCTCATTGATATTTTTATGCAATGTCCGGAATGAGTTGGTTAGGATGTAGAGTTGATGTGGATTGTGGAGAAATTGGAGTTTTTGCGGGTAAAGTCACGGAGATCGATGACCAAATTGATTGTGTGAAACTTAAGAATGGTGGGTATATTTTTTAACAGAATATTCGTGGAGGTTTACTTTGTTGGTGTAGATTTCTAAATACTATTGTCATTTTGTCTTTTTATAGCACAGTAGTTAGGATAAATGAATTTTAGTCATATTTGTATGGTTAATTGAATTATTATTATAAATTTGTTTACAAACGAATTTAATGAAAAGTTTGAACTGAATTTGTTCTAAATAAATTTGTACATAATAAGACGAAATCTGCGAGTCTGCAAGTTTATCTTATTGTATATAGCAATGTATGATTCAATTACTTTCCAGCATCTCTTGATGGTAAGAGCTTACCGTGTGGTGATGTGACATTGAGGATGTCTGAAATAAAATGTTTGAAAATAATCTCTCTGGAGGAGACTGATTTGGAGCAGAATGATGGAAAGCAACTGCAGTTTGAGCTAGAAACTGTAATGGTTTGTGCCAATATGCTTATAAATTTGTGGCCTGAACACTTTTGGAGAAGTGAAAAATAAGGCACTACATGAACTATCCTCTCTAATCTGCCACTGACCTATAAACGAAGTCTTATTTTGAGCAATATATGTCTATTGCTTTCACAGGAGCAGCCTATGTCTCCAAAGAAAACTTATTCAGCGTCAAAGAAATTTAACACCCCAGGTAGGAGTGTACGGCATATTTTCTTATAGTCTAGCACTCTAACAAACTAACACTAATCCATGTAATAATGGTAGAAAAATTCATTACCGGTACCATGTGCTTTTTTTTAATTCTTGTAATATTCAAATTTCTAGAGCAAAAAAGAAATAGTGGTAATGAAAACAGGAGATCAAGTTTTAAAAAGAAAAATAAGGTTTTTATAGTGTGTTTATAGTATGTTAAGCACATGCCACAACAATGACTACTACATGTGCACAAATTTGTTCACAACTTTGTAATATGTATCAAATAAAATTTATAAAACCCCCTATTGTTCTCATAGGAATGTTTTGGAACACCTCTGGATGACATCAAAGTACCTGATTTCGATTTTGAAGTAAATATATTTTGCACACAATTCACTATATATATATATATATATATATATATATATATATATATATATTTAAAAAGGGTTGTTAAATCACTGTATCTAAAATTTCTCTTTTCTGTCAGAAAAATCTGAAGTTGTTTGATAAAGAAGCTATTTTTGAGGAATTAAGGGTAAGTATAAAGAGTGTATATTGGAATACTATTATATTATTAACACTATATATACTAAAAATTCTGTTAAAGGTTATTTCATCTTATTGTAATTTTATGGCCTAACACACTATGTTTATCTTATAGGGAAGCAAAACAACGCCCCTAGTGAAGAAACCTCAAGGAAAAGAGAGAAAATTGAGACATGATGAAAATGTCTTGGAACAAGAACAAGAACCTGTTAATTTAAGGCAAAGTAAGATTAAGTTGCATTCTGGTTGTTTGATAAGAGTTAATTGAGTCACTTTCCTGGGCACTTCATAAAAAACATATAGGTTGCATTCAGATGCCATATAGAGATCAGTTAGCTAAGAATAGCCATAATTTGTAATTTTCCTTTAGGTTTCCATAATTTAATTGCATAGCTTTGCTTGCACAGGGATAGGGTTGGTGAGCAGAGAGAAAGAAAGAGCTTGTGAAAAGAATGCATAATATGTGCAATTAATAATGACCTTCATTTTTTTCAGTACCATTAATAAAGTAATTTCGCTTCCTGTAGTTGTTGCGCCGTTAGAGCATACAGGACGAGAGTACCACACGGATGAAGGCGTTATAGTGCCTTGTATATCAGTACAATTGAGAAATAAACTCTTTAAAGTATCAGGTGGGTCTAGGATATCTTTATCTGCTCCGTTTAGTTCACCTATTCGGGACTTTACAATCTCTGGATTGCTTGGAAAACTGTATTGTATGCTTTTTCCGTCTGGAACCCGTGAAACGTTTTGAGCTTAAATCATAGAAACTTAGTTTTCAAAAAAGGAATATAACTATTTTCGCTAAAATTTTCAGAAAACATGGGATTTAGTGAGGCACAGAGGGTTGAGAACGCAGGCCTGTGCGCATGTCAGATGGCCCTCCAACTAGTGGGTAAGTACGTGGTGTAAAAACGGCCCAAAGTTTGGATTTCAAATTCGACCTTTTTACTGTAATTGTCGCCAAATTTAGATTAAATTTAGAGTAGAGGAAAAAATATTAAATCTCTTAAAAATTAAATCCCTTAAATCGCTACTTATCGTTGATATTTACTTTATTTTAACACAAGAGGCGCTAAATCCAGTGCTATATGTGGGTCAGTGCGCGCTCTCCAGCCATTGTTTTTAGATCAGTGTAGTACATAATGCGTGCTGACTCGACGTTTTCTTGACTTGTTCTACCCAGGTGGCAGTAACCGTCTCACTCAACGTAACGCTCATCAAACACCACATGTCGTGATCTTGGCTGGACCAAACGCTGTCGGTATTCAAGCAATTTGTGCTGCCAGGCATCTGGCCAATCATAAGGCAAGTCTTGCTATGACAATCAATGATGTAAAATAATGATCAATGAGTGTAAAATAATGATCAATAATGTAAAATAATGATCAATGAGTGTAAAATAATGATCAATAATGTAAAATAATGATCAATAATGTAAAAGTGAAAAGTCGCTATATAAAACGTATTATATAAGAAAGGTGTTCGGACACTTTCCAGAATTTCTCTAATATTTTTTTGCCCTTATAAATGCGTTTAACATCCATCGAAACTGATTTTTGAATATCTAAACTTCAAAAGAAGGAAGAAAATCGGGAAGATGTTGCAAAATTTCAGTTTATAGGACTTCTTCATTGTCAAAAGCTTATTGTCAAAATTTTATAAATGACATTCTCTAATCCTAGGTTCAAGTGACTTTGACAGTGCCAGTGAAAACAGAAGTAGGTATATTGTTGTATTTATAGTGCAGTGTTCCATATAGATGTTTCTTTGTGAATATATTAGATAATAAATAGAGAATTTCAATTTCTTCTTGCCATTAAAAGACAATCTCTATTTCCAGAATCTAGTCCAGCATCTTGCACTGTTTTTCCATACTGGTTCCAAACTTATTTCAAACGTTGCAGGTACGGTATAGGTATAAATCTTTGCGAGGTAATATTGCCATTCATTGAGTCCACACCACTGAAGTATAAATAAACTGGAATGCTAACTCAGCGAGGAATTGAAGCAAATGCTTTTAGTTTTTCGCAAAAATACGTTTTGAGCAGAAATAATTGGTCGACACGCATATAAGTCCTACAGAACCTAAATAATTTCCTTAGTCCCACGTGTACCTTCATATACTGTATAAGTTCATGTTGAAATGCATTTTTTCTCCAGATCTTCCCAAAGAGCCGGTGGACCTTGTAATCCACGCGCTGTTTTCGCCAGAGGATGAATCAAGTAATAAAATATCACAAGAGCTTACGTCAGTCAATCAATGGGCCAATGAGAATAAAGCACCAGTTTTGTTACTAGACCCCTGCTCTCGCTCTCGGATGCTGGGTTAGTGGAGTTAATGTATCCAACTTTTGTGCTTCTTTTGTTAAGTATTGTAGACAAGCTGTTTGTATTTTTGAACTGCCTGGCAGCTTTCAAACGATTCGATATTTTGTCTCCATATCCTTATTGTAATTATTTTAGTACAGCATGGGTGTGCATCGCATTCAAATGCCATCCAGCGGTGTTTCTAACAACCATTGTCTTACACCTGTTTTAGGAGTAGAATCAAAGTGGTCATTGTCATTTGGTTTACCGCTGGTAAGTATGACCGTGACACCTGAAAATGACCAAAGTTTTCCCAAATTAATATGCACAGGATTAAAAGAAATTTTATCTTACACTTCGATTATTTGTCTTTAGATCGATGTCCCAACTGAGTGTCGGACGTACCTGGCCGATCTGGGCATGCCAAAAGGAATATACACCGCTGTTAATATTAACTACACCTCGCCATTCGGAGAGAAGTTTGTAATTGCATTGAATCAGTAGTGACAAGGTTTGTTGAATTCCTTTCTTTGTATTGTTATGTCGTTCTTTATCTTATACGAATTTACGTCGTTCACCGAACGCTTGGGGGGGGGGGGGTTAGGGCATATTTTAAGTCACTGGACGCAATACTCCTTTTGTAACTGGAGTGTGGACTATCGAAACTAAGGATTTCGAAAGTACTCATTCTCAGCTAAAAATATTCACTTCGGAGTGCATTTGATTAATTCGGATAGATATTTGAGGCGTGGGTACCACAATATTTTTTAGTGGTGCATGTTTAGGCAGCTACGTGACCATAGAATATGAGCGGTGTGTGAAATTTAGGGTTTCGTGTAACCTCGTTCCTCGTGTAAATTCTAAATACACGAATTTAATCGTTGCCGATTATGTTAGGATTAGGGTTCGATTTAGGATTAACCTGAATCAACTGTAAACCTAATCTACTGCTTAATCCTACCACACCTCGTTGACTTCGTAAGAATACAAATATGCTACTTATACCAAATCTATATACTCGTTTTATATTTATATATTTCTATTATTACGTGGCAACTGAGGTTTAAAAATCACTTAAGATCGTTCATCTGCGTTCATCGCATGCTTATCGCTCGAATTTTATACGCTTGTTGAATTGTGTGGGCCAACCACAGTCCACAAATGTGAGTACGTCTTTAAATCGCTTTTATTGAAGACAGTTCAATAAACCGCGAATTCGGGCGAATTATTAAAGAAGGTGGCAAATCTAGTTTCCAGGACCAGTTTCTAGACTCGATTTTTTATCTGCTCCAACACTAACTTCCAGAAATTTTGGACTAGATCTGTTTCTTATCAACTGTTCAAACTGATTGTGGCTGCTTGGCGCGCTACAGCCAGCAGTATCTGCCTATAGTGGTCAACTATTATATATACGGCCAAGTGCAATTCATCGTGGTTATTTTCGCTTGAGGGATTGTCAGACTAAAGTACACTCTATGTATGTCGTGTATGAGTTTTAAGCATGCAGACTTGCTCCCCTAACTATAACCTTTTATAGACACAAATAGGCCTGGGCGACAGTCTTTACATTATTGCATCAGTTTGCAAAGAAGGTCAAGGAATTTAAATAGCGAATTCTCGACTTCTAGAACATTTTAATGACTACATATATTGCTGCATTGAGTATTCCTTATTACAGGTACAAGGATATTGGTATTCTTATATCCTTGTGCATGCAAATGACCGTAATTTGTGAAACGTATTGATACTGATTCGATTACGAAGATTAATATATTTGAATTTGACGTACGTCGTTGCAAATTTATGTCATTCCAGCGGCAAACAATTGTTGCTCTTGAAAGTCGAATTGATTCTTCTCTATGTACTTATCATATATTCGCTACTCCCGTACATTGTACCTTATACAGGCGAAACAAACAGTAAAACAAGCAAACGACTATCTTTTTTGAAATGTATCGATGCTCTATACAAAGCCGATATTTGCCCACGGACAAAGAACGCGTGTGTCGCTTTGAAATAATAATTCGTTTACATATTGTTTTGTCAAGCATTTCGACAATACCGCGTCAAAATAAATACAAAATTTCAATGGCTTTCTGATAAATATTTTCAATGCTTTTCTATGGAAAATTACTGCTTGTAGTCATTTAATTCACGTCATGCAACTGCAGCGTTGATTGTAGCAACGTTTTGCGAACCATTAGACGCAGGTTTGAAACTATTTTGCCGGTGTTTTTTTTCCAGATTGTTATCGGAATAGCTCTTTCATTTCTGTGACGATGCAGTTTACAATCACAGTGGTATGCGGAGCGGCCCACCCTATAAAGCCGCGATTATGCAACATATATTTCTGGGGCGATCAAGATTAACAGTAATCGATAATTTCTATGGGGTATAGTTTAATGTGTTAAATATATAATACATTCCGCCATCTTTGTCCCCGAGTGCGAAGCATTTGATTTGTAAATTGAATTCAAATTTTCGCGTTTCAAATTTTTCCTCTTTCAAGTCGATATTAATGTGTATTTTGAAGGTATACATAATATCGCTCGCTTCAATTAAGAAATGTCTCCTTGTATTCAAAATCGATATAAAAGCGAACATTTTTCCCTTCATAATTTCGACTGTTCGTTCTGTTTTCGTCTGTTCAATTTTAAATGATTTGTCACCGGAGTAGAAATCCTTTTAAATCTAATTTAACAGGAAAGCAGGAGGATTAACCACTTATAGTGTTAAATAATCTAGCTAATAAGTTGCTCCAAGTTTAGAATCACACTATAACCGGAGTAGAGATTAAATGTTTACGGCCATATAGTTTTTCCCATCACTAGACTGATCCGACGAGAACGTGGGTTTTTATACCAGACCAAGAAAATTACAGATTTTATGATTTCCTTCAATCTTCAATAAGGCATACACAAAACTGTGCAAAGTAGATTTAGGAAAACTGTTAACTAGTTATGAAATTGAGCATTGTTACCACTTAATAACTGAGGAACATTATTGGCAATGATTTTAATTGATTTTACTTGTTTGTGCCTGTCACATAAAATTCAATTTCCGCTCGGCAACAGAGCGAAACGTGCTTTGAAAAGCGTCAAACAATCTAGCGCTATAATAGTTACATGTTTTCTATGAGATATTTAAACAAAATACATAATATTTATATGCTATGTCTAGCGAGCAGTCTGCGAAGATGCAGTTAAAAGCAATAAAGCTTTTAGGCAAATTTTCAACCAGCCATCTACTCCGCTACTCAATGAACTTGGGAAAGAATTCGTCGATAAAATATTTATCGACCCATACTCAATTTGCTTGAGAAAGCGTTTTAAACGAGCCTAAAAGCCTTATGAATAATTTCATTAAACGATGCATCATTTTTTCAAAGTTTTCTCCAAACTTCGCGTTATTTGAGCATACTTTTGAAATACGCCGCAAAAGCAATTAAGCTGCGTTAGGGTAGCAAGATATATAAATACCAAGAATTGTGAAGTCTAGCTTAACTCCCCTGCTGGGAGGCAGGCAAAATCTGCACGAAGTTTTGGTGCTTTCCGACGGGTTGTTGGTGAGCTGTCTTTTGAGAAAGGGCTGGTTTTAGCGAAGCCTATCGCGGGTCGCGTTTGTTTTGAGCGAATTTACTGCGGATTGAGTGAAGTTGTCACCGTTTAATTAATTATTCAGAGTAAATAACCTACGCTTCTTTTGTCCCGAGCGCATTATGGAGGCAATAGTTATGTTAATTACCATTTGAAAACGTGTATTGTGTTCAGTCAAGGGGTAAACGTTAAATAGCTTTGTTCGTAGCTTACTAACTCAGTCTTTCGTTTGTTTGCGATGTAAAGACAGTTGAAAAGATCTGTTAACTATATTCTTTAACACATAAGAACGTTGACAAAGGGAAAACAGTCAAGTTTTCACAACAGTATTTGCACAACGGACAGCCGGACTTAAAAACTCTTACGACGCGCCAAGGGAAGGAAACGTGCAAAGCGACAAGGATTAGCACAGATTTATTTCGAGGACAAATTTCGCCTCGCCACTTACACAGCTATCGCGTTGCATCCCGTGTCGCTTGGTTAAGGCGATTAAAAACATTACATATACAACAGCGCTTTTCTCACGAGCGCCTGGACTTGGTGTTAGGACCAGACTTACAGCACCACACAGAATTTGTTCTCGCTGAATTTTCACGCGAAGAAGGGACTCGTCGAAGGAAACCTGCGAACACAGTCCCAAAGGTATTGTACAGTTGTCTTCATTGAAATACGTGTCGTTTAGGGTAAAGTGAGAATTTTAAAATACGTTTAAATCTTGTGCTATTGAAATTAAGAAGAAAATTCTGCATTCCAGGACTTTGCGAATACTTATACAGCAAAGGAAAACTGTCGGTAGAGTGGTGACAATCTCAAAGGCGAACAAGAAGCGATATTTCTCAAGTGTTGAAGAAGTCGTACTGGGAAGTATATATTCAAGGCTTCATACAGACTTAGATTTGAGGATTTAAAACATTTTAATCAAATATTTAAACGAGTTAAGTGACTTATCGATCAGAGATGGCAACCACAACTCAGACACAGACTGGCGCCGCGGCGACGAACAACGAGCAGCCATCGACGAAATCCGAACAACATATCAAACGACCAATGAACGCGTTCATGGTCTGGTCCCGTGACATGCGTCGCAAGATGGCCGCGGAGCACCCGAGAATGCATAACTCAGAGATCTCGAAAGCATTGGGTCTGCAATGGCGAGTATTGCCCGAGAAAGAGAAAGTCCCTTACATTGAAGAGGCCAAGCGTTTGCAGGCCGAACACAGCGTCCGCCACCCAAACTACAAATATAAACCCCGCCGACGAAAACCGAAACCCGTGAAAAAGGACACTCGCTTCCCCTTTCCTTTCCCACCCACGGCAGATAACGGTGCATTAAAGGTACCAGGATACCCACAATCCATGCCCCCAGAAGGCATGTACCCCTACTACCAAGTGCCCTCAAGCACCTACATGCAATACCACGATCCCTATCAGGCTGCAAGGCAAGCTTCATTTTACTCGCAATCTCAAGGAAATGTCCATTCTCCAACTGGGGTCACCCACAGTGATATAGGCCGCGACCTGACGGGGTACAGACCTGATGTCGTCCAGATGCATGGAGCCCCACCCCACCTATACCCCATTGACCCAATCAACGTCCCCACCCAAGCCACGTCGGTTTATAGTGGCACCACAACGTCGCTTAGTAGCCCAGCTATGCCGGTGAACTCCACGAATTCCGATAACCCACAAATTCACTATCAACAATACTTTACCCAGAGACATATAAACTTATAGATTCGTTTAGTTCCTAGTGGTCACTGACGGCTCGTTTTTAAATCGTTTATAAAGATTTACAGACGTTTAGTGAAATTATTTATTGATCGAGAATATCATTAGGCAGTTTTCGCTTCCAAAAATTCAACTAGCTTGTCCAACAAATCTGTTCTTCAGTGCTATAGATATGGTTGAAGAAAGACATCGGCGGAAGCCATTGTATATCTAAGGCAGAAGAAACACTTCAAAAACTGAGTTTTACATTGAACTTTGTGTGAATGAATTCCGATTTGTATTTATGTTACACTGCCGGCAAGAAACTCGTCGGATTGTGCTGAAATTTTGTGCTTTGATAACTGTTAATTTACGGCATATACTCTGAGCAAGGGAGTGTTGCAATTTGTGTGATTGATTAAATGTATTCTAGTTACTCTGTACTGTATTTTTGTTACTTTCGACCTGGATACATAAATTGTGTATATATTCTTACGGAATACATAAACTAGCGATATTCGGTTGTTCTGGGAAAGATCAGGGTGTGAATACACGTCAATTCATTGTCCGTTTTGCTTGCATAACCACAATATTGAGCTGCGTTTATTCATGTCCTATATCTCGAACTTCGGGGTGCCAATGTGTCGGAGTTCTTCAAGAAAGCGTCGAGAACAGCATGTACTCGAGAACAGCAATCGCTTCGAGCCAAAATTATTTTGGCAACGATCGAAAGATCACTAATTATCAAGTCTTGTGAATGTTGAAAGAAGCATATATATGCAGCGCTAATAATGGGCTTAGACGCCAGTGTGACTCGAAGGGTTAAGTTTTATTCGTGCAATTAGACGATCATTCACTAAACCGGCCAGAACTAAAAGCTTCTTTCAAACAACAAAACACGGCGCCTATAAAGAGAGATTCACGATTACTTCACCAATTCGTTCCTTGTTGTCGTGAGCAATTTGGAGGAATTTAAGTAGCCTCGTTGGCAAATATAAAATCCGTCTTGGCTAAAATAAAGATTTCTTGAGGCTTAACCTCTTCAAAGATAAGTGCTTGTTTATGTATTTGCTTATAACGGTACTCTAGTGTGCACAACTCGTAACGAATAAGGGCACTTATCCTCTTTGTCACGACCAAAGCTATATAGACTGCCAATAATCCTCTCTCTCTCTAATAATAATAATAAAATCGGGGGTTTTGTGCGATTTATGGGACCATTTATATAAGCGCTACCTTTTCAAGAACCCCGCTATACTTTTCAAGAACTTTGTTGCCAATATTTCCGAATAAGATGACTATATATACTGGAGTTTTATGATATATATAGTAGCTCAAGCGTTTCGGTCTTCGACTGAGAATAGCTTTGGTTGACTATTTTTGAGGGTTGACTCTCGCATCAGGACTTGAGAGCAATCGTCAATAAATATTTTGTTATAAGGGCGTTGAATTTCTGACACTTCAATCCGTCGGCATATTTGCATACCTTATACATAATAAGTCTTTGGGGGTATTATGTCAAACAGCTACGGAAATTCCTCTGTAAGTTCACTAATACACGTATATATTTATCTATATCGTGGGAGTATCGAAAATATTACGTTGACAGCGAAAGTCCTTCTTTTATTATTGTAGAAATTCTCTTCCCGTCGGCCTGTCTTAAAGCTTTTCTGGCTTCCCACGTTAAAGTGTCATTAGTCTCGCGTCGAAAGTTTCAAAACTCGTGTGCGACGTGGCAATTTCACACACACATAACAGAAGTGTAATAAATTTAATTGCATGCATTCTGGTTTTTTACCTTACTGTTTAACAATACTGTCTTACTGAGCTATTATCGCGGGTAACTCGGTCGATTTAAGTTGGCCTTCTAGAAGTATATTTATAAATGTTAATTAAGACAAAAAACAGTCAATAGAATAATTTGTGGTGCTTCGTAATATGCTTTCCTATATATGCTTTGACTTTAAAACCATCTCAGTACCGAGGCTACGAACCTGTTCGACTTAAAATCGTGGATGGGTATGCCCCTTTATTTATTCGCTAAACTGAATAACGTTAATTCAAAAGGTCCTCGACACACAATACGGCTATTTAACAAGTTTCTTAACCATGTAAATGTCAGGAAAGAAAAGCTTTATTCGCGAGCACAATGCGTTGGCAGCCGCAAGACAATACGGCATTACATCTGCAAACAAATATAAAACATTGTGAGGATGGGGAAATAGGACCTCTTTTCAATTTGCCATACGATATGGGGTTATTATAAATCCGCATGTATATAAACTAAACAAATAAACTTGTTCAGTCGAAACGAAAGCTCGTTGTTTGCAGAGAATTATACTGTATAGCGAGGTGATTTTCGTGATGTAACTATAGTCTATAGATCATGCATGGACATGAAATTCCGCATTGTCAAAGAAACGTATATGTCTTTGATCACTTTGGTTATATATAGTCGAAGAAAGGCTATATTGGGAACTTTACGTGGTGCACAGAGCCAAAGGTATACGTGTACATAATAATTCTATTTCCTGGTCGTGAAAAACCACCTTTTGTTGCACGTGTCTTGAAATGCACTTTAGGCGTTACGTTTCCACTACTTGTGGCATATACGAACTTCAGAAGGCTTATTTCAACCTATTTAAAACCCTTGGAAATGCTGTTTGTGTAGATTCTCGCTAGGTATTATAGCCTATACTTGAAATGGGCGGTACACGATGCGTGTAATTGTTTTGAAATAAATGTGGTTTACGATTATAAGTTGTTTCTGACAAATCTTCAAACGGTTACGGATTGATTTCTCAATAAACTAATATTATAGCTGTAAGTCTTTGTGAAAGGGTATATATCACTGAAAGTTCGTTTCGACGGTTATAAACGTGATGGTGCATTGCAGTGTGTTGATTTGTTTTGATTTACGCTTCCTTCATCAATGCGGTTGTGAAAATTCTCGTTTCAAAGCGTTCTCAACGGGTGTGATTTTTACCGTATTGAAAACGCTTCGGCGTCACTTGGAGGAATTGTTTCAGACTTTATCGCTACATCATGTGTATATCTGTAAATAAAAGAGTGGCTTACATTACTTTAGTACACCATCGCTTGAAACAAAAGTTCCCTGTCATATTGTTAAACATGGCACATATAGGTGCAGACACTATATCACATTTTGTGGTCGCCCTCAAAAGCTTCCTTAAACGGATGCGTCATTGTATACTCGCAGATGCGTAGGTTAAAGGAGAGGGCTCATTCAAATTTCGTTGTTGTTATGCATAAAATATGATTATTTCAGCTTTTCAGATCTTTTGACTAAATCCCGTTCTGTGCTTTCAAAATTGCATATTCCTGCATACTGAGTATAGCATCGATAATACACAACTATAGCTTTAAGTCCTAGGTTTGGAATTTTCAAATGCCACGCATTTTTGCAGGCACATTTGAAGTTGTTAGTTTCGCTTGGGGGCCAGCAACCCACGATTTCCTCTGTATTAGATTGCAAATCATTTCAAGGAGCTGATTTTTACTTTATATTTCAGCCCCTTGTAATTTACTGATACATTGATGCATGTTATGAAAATATACCTTGAAATATCCCGAAACTATAGGACGGTGTGAAAGATAGTGCAACGAAGCCTGGGGTTTATATTAAATCTTACATATATAACATGATATAATCTATAATTTAAATGGGGGGTGATATATTTCGGTCATAATTTCTAAATATAAAAACGAAAATATTTTTTCATACAACGAGGTTAGTTATTGAATGAAAATAAGGAAATCAAAGATACAAGCTGTACATCATTTTTAACCCTGGTTTATTTTTAGAGTAAAATTTCGTGCATGCGATTTCCCTTGCACTCACACAGCCTCTTCAGTAGGTCTAGAACCGGTATTCGTACTTAATTTTTTAAGGTGTCGCAATGTCATCTCTGTTTTTGTTAAAGGGGAAGGAAGTGAAAGTCTTATCCGATTTTAACAACAAGACAAATGAGATTGGGTCCCGTTTTTGAAAAGGTGACGAAGATTTTGAGATGGAAAAGATGCCTGTCACATGTACAGGAAGGTCTTGAGCTAAGTTTTTTTTATCACTTTTGCATTACTTTTGCTGAAAATTGTACTCCGGTTCAATAATATATGTCTTATTCGACATATAAACTAACAAAAAATTCTTAACAACGGAATTAAAAAATGGTCAAAATTTATTTGCGATGATCTTTGTAATAATCATAAATAATGTGTCTAGTCATCCTAAATACATTTATTTTCGATAATCTATTAAATCATACTTCCTCAGCAGCTTAGTGTTACAAGATTAGATCATGCACTTTATGCGAAGTCAAGTCTATGCACTTGCAATCTGCATGTTGATTAGATACGAACTTTTAACCTTGCAGTCAGTACTGTACAACCTTTAAGATGGCTATAAAGGTAATCGACAATATCTACGCCAAAGCACTTGCTTTTTATTATCTACACATGCATGCATATAAAATAAGTCGCGAATTCTGCATATAAACATTAAATTTCTTGAAATCACAGCTGCATATAAGCCTATACATATTAGTCTTCAAAATCTAATTGCCTTATATATATCATCAGTTACTATATATAACATTGCATGGTCTAGGATAACCAGTTTCTACAATATGCAGTGAATTGCCTCTCATACACAAAATATCCTTATAGGGTAAACCACATAGCCTATGTCATGCCTATATGCATTTACTGTTCCTGCACAATACAATATAATCATTTATAACTCGCAGTGAGTTCTCTACATTAGACTTCTTACTTCAAGACCTACAGTACCTACTATAGGTTTCTTGTCCCTCATAATCCTAATCATCTATAACTTGGCATTGAGTGCTTTAGGTAACCCTGCATGCACATACTACATGATTTTGTCATCATCATCGCGCTGGAAGCCAACATTCAAATTATGTAATATAGTTGTTCACAGCAATAACCATTAATGGTATTAAAGAACTCGAAAGTAAATTATCCGACAGTAACAATTGTCCATCTTCTAGACAGTACATTCTATATAATTGCATGTTATATCATGCTTCAACACAGCCGTGAATTCATTAAAAAAGCAACCCAAAATTTAAAAAAAATGCATGCTTTACATGTGTATGGTCTTCACTCTGTTTCAACACTGACAATATATTGTGTATATGGTTTAAATAACGCTTTGAATCTTGGAGTGGCACGAGCCCCGTGTAGCATCAATCAGGTAAAATTGCACATTCGAGACAGGCGAACAGATGCTTGCTCGCAGGAAATCAAAGATAAAATAGAACAACCAGGAAGGTTACGAATTAATCTAATTAAAGTTTAACCCATGGTGTTTTTACCAGACTGAACATTCGAGAAAGCGACCTTCCCTGTGTGACGTAATCAGTAGGTAGGCATGAGAACTTCCAAGTTGCTTCTAGTTACAAGATGATTGTATCGATATAATCGAAAAGAATTATTCCGCTTGTAGATAATTTTGTTGTATCAGTAACAGATTGGATACCGACCGATGTCACTGCCACTGGATCTCTGGCGTGGAGAGTTAACAACTATTGGAGATACCCAGGAAATACAAAGTGCATTTAGTTTGAATTCCTTTTGAATGGTACACTGCATACGTAGGCTAGGAAAGGATTTTCACGCTGAATTCGGGGAAGAAGACCTGCAGTTTTGCAGTTTTGGAAAACCTCGGTATAAATTAAGTTAATTAATTATAAACCGTGCACGGGCTTGTCTGGGCGTTCCAGCAAATTGCGGCGTTTCTTTCTGAAGCTTGTCCTTGGCCTACACCAAATGCATAAATTATTTCCTAAATTTAACTTTCCGCCTTCGGGGTACACGCTACAATGGAGGCAGTGCAAAAGCCAATATTCGCTTGCCAACGAGTTGATGAGTTGGCTGCATTTTGCGAATGTCAGGGTCGTCCAGCGAAACGCCGCTGCGTCGATACCCAGGGTGGCGCGCGTGATAACGGTATATTAAGGTTATAGCGCAGCGTGACAGCGATTTTCTTAAGCCCCGCTGCTAAACCAACCCAAAACAAACCCTTTTGTCTAATGCGGTTATAATTCTTTGGATTCCTCACAAATTATGAACAGCGATTTCGAAAGCGTTTGATTACCTTGCTATAGAACACGAAATAATTAGTTATTGTAAAACAGAGCTGTCTTTGTGGAAACCACCATCATTAAATTGTGATGCAGTTGTTTTTGAAATTCCTACCTAACCGGATCAGTTTTGGCCGAGAAAAAGAATAGTAATCGAGAACAGATTTTCGTGCGTTCCAAAGTGCATTGCTCGCTTCGTTGATTTTTGCTGAATAACAATTCGGACTTTGAAGGCTCAGGAAATCCGTAAAACGTTCCATTGAAGTTTTCGATTTGTAAACTTGGGGAAAAGTTTAAACTTTAAGTATGTTTTCCGTTTAAAGTGTGTGTCGCGTGAACTTTCTTGCGTTTTATATTGCGGGGCGGGTGATATCTTCCCAAGTATTTGGATCATTTAATTATGATAAGATCAGTAATGAATTCCCCCAAGTGAGTTGGGCACTCCTTCAAAGCAACAATTTGAATCGGACTTTGTTCCTTTGATGCTGCGACTGAAATCCGACAACCTCGAAATATGCCAAGAAAGCTGGCCAAAGTTCCAGCCAATATTCACGATGGCCACTTGTGAGACACGTGTACTTGTAAGATAGTCCCGTACAATTATTCCCCTGTTTAACTTATTTATACTAAGAACAATATGTAATGGCAAATTTTCAATCGGTTTTTGAAAATGGTATAAAGAGCAGCAATTTGCGTGGGCCGGTTTTGATCACCTTGTGAGAGTGTCGGATCGAAGGCTGTTTAGAATACAAAGAACTGACATATCGACTTAGATAGCAACGTTTTGAAAACCTATTATTAATGGTCGGAAATACAAATACAAAAGCCACATGCAATAATAACACGTTCGTGCATTTGTGTTCGGAAATGTTATAGTGCATGTACCTTCCGCTTAATAAATATTGACTTGAATATCATGATAAAAATCGTGTGTAGACCGATTCTAAAATCGTGCTCGCTATTTTTTGCGAAACGTCAGTCATTTCGAATGGAAATATTGTGGTTGGGTAGATTTTATTCGATCCGGTTGCTGAACGTATCAATATGTTGCCCAAGCGCTTTGTTGGAAAGCAGAAAAGATGGCGTTCACCTGCTATATTGAGATCAGTGGCTTGTGAACCTTTTCCTCGTTGTTGCAACCGATCTCTATGTGATAAGCTGAACGGGTGTTAGTGATGGAAAAAACCCTTTGTTTTCAGTCGTTTATTTGCGTATGGCGTTAATCAATCACAGCTGTTCACAAACAATTGCTGTTTGTTGCTTGTAGTCACCATCTAAACTGCTAGAATCGTATGTCCACGATTGTCTAAGAAATTAAAGTTTTCTAAATACACCTTGCTCGCATATTGGTATTTGTTCTGGGGCCGGTGGTATAAAACTCTTTAACTACATTTTACATAGTTAAATCCTAGTTAATTCAGAAATACACAACTCTGATTGGCCAATTCGGTCCTACAGTTAACTTTTAGCTAGTCTTTTATACAACTGACCCCTGTCCATGCATTATCTAACAAAATTAATTACAAATGGTACAATCATTTAATATATACATGTTTTCTAGTAAAACTCTATTACCCTTCGAGGGTTCGCATAAGCCATTCTCGTGCGCGATATAGACTATATAGTTCGTTAAACGAAATATGGGAAGTTACAAAATAGCCGTTAATGCAGATTTGTGGATATATATTGGACATGCATGTGTATTAAAGTCATAAGAACTACTTTCTTCTTAGGACTACCTTAAAAGAACGGACTTTCAGAGATTTTGAAAAATAGATAGAACAAACTAAAAAATCGCTCATAAGGAACAAACTTAGAAAGACACGAGGGACTAAAGTGTGTTCATTGTGTCTGGTACTGGTGCCCGTCTTCTTTGGCGATCAGGTAAACACATATGTGTATACGTCTTTAAGAACGGGTACTACCTCCGTTATGTTCAACGAAACTGTTTTGACTTTGAGCAAACAGTCTAACCGCAGCCTAAGTTAATCCCTGCCTCACAATTTCTTGTTTCAGTTTATTTCTACGTAACAATGAGGAATTTCATTTTAGACCAATCAGTATTTTTTTTACATTTTCAGTAACCCAATCAGAATGCATAAATATTGATTATACTTCCGGTAAAAAGGTACATCATTTACCACTTTATATGAAGTATTATAAATTTGGGCATTCTGATTTGTTTAGTTCAAAACGAAATTCCTTCTTGTTTTCCTGCGTTAATTTGTCAAAAATTAAAAGTCATGCGTTAAAGAAGCAATCATGCACTCCCTTCACAAAGCCCGTTTGTCTTCTACCGTTTGTCTTCTATTGCAGTAAGAAAAGTATTTTTTCATTTTCATTTGACCACATTCCATTGGATTCATGTCGTAGTTGTCTTTCATTTGTTTTCTCCAGCAATATCATTGCTTTCTGCACAAGTGTTTCCAGAGATGCGAATCTCCCAAAGGTAATCTCGGCTGTTTTTCTAGTTTGCACATATTGCACTTCGTTTGGCATTTCTTCCGAACTGCAGCTGACTTCCTCTTCTTCTTTCCTGTCCATATTTTTAAGTATCTTTCAGTATATTTTTTGTATCTGTGTCTAAATTGAAACATGAATGAAAGTTGTATAGTTTGGTTGTTGATTTGTTACTAGCCACATTTTTTAAGCATTAATAATATACTTTACTGTTGCATTAATAATATAATTTAAGGTTGACATGATCGATGAGCGTTGTTATTTTTTAATATAACTGATCGAGTATTCTTTTTATAGATGATATTTATTTATACGTCTCACGTTCGCCAGAATATAAATGTGCAAAATTTGAAAGAGTAAAGCTGTATGGTGCAAAGGAACTTTAAAGTGTGTACCAATGGCCGCTCTGACGTTCAAAATCATTTATGGCCTTTAGTAATACTCTACTAAATCACCTGCAAATTCTCAACAAAGATTCATAAATTTCTTGAATAATCGTATCCTGCACGTCACTAGAAGACAATGATATTGATGAACGCGTTCACTTTCATACGACCGTCTTTACTTCTTTTCACTTGCTGGTTTTCTCTCAGGTTCAGTATGGTTTAGGTTCAGAGAAGAAGGACGCCCTTTTTAAAAAAGTTTTTTTAAAAAAAAGTAAGTTTACAAACTTTTTAAACAATAAATGTTAAAATAAGCTACAACATAAAAACAAGGTGCAGAGGCCAAATTTAAGCTGGAGCCTTCAGCCGTATTTGTGCTAAAACACATTTTCTCCTTCATCAAAATTATCGCTTGAAAAATGTCGTTTTCTTACGCATGTAATAAAGGATGCTGAATTTACATCTTTACACATGCATAGGTCGTGATAATAAATTGAAATCTATTTTTCATTTAAAGTGCTACTCAATTTGATTTATAGCATGCATACTAACTTTTTTGACAATTATGCACAATTACCCAAAGGTGTTAGCCCATTGAGCTGGCAGATTGATATTTTACAGTATTTCTGGCAGATTATTTTACCAGAATGGTATCTAACAGTTATTCCTGGAGAACTTTTCAATAACACAGCATGGCACTGTTGGTAAACTGCATGGTAGAAATGTATATATGGAGGACCCACAGGTGAACCCATTGGAGCTCCATTGCTTTGTTGTAGAGCTAATATTGTTTTAGTAAATGCCCCTAGTATTTTACCATTTCCTGTCATTCGTCATTCACCATCTTCGTGGGTATTTTAGCTTTTAAAACCTATTCTTTTGGAAAACTTCATTCTTTTCAGGCACATCGACAATTTTATTACGGCCGGCACGGTTTATCGATCAACTGCCTAATTTGTACGCCACAACTGAAGTTAGGGCCAGCTGTTTGAAAGGCGTTTAGCTTAATTGAAAAATAAATAAGCCAAAGTATATAAATATATACTATCAGACATCTTGTGGATGGTCAACCTAAATCTTATGCATTGACTATGTATACTTTCAATGAATAAAAACTATTAAATGAAAATATAATCATCTCAACTGTTCAAAAAATAGATAATTTTGTTTTCTATTTCGAACTTATGTCTGCTATTTAAACTAAACGCATTTCGAGCAACAGCTTCTAGTTTTGAGGCAGTGACTTTCCAGGGCATGACTACGAAAATATGTTGTCTTTGAACTCTATTCCATTCGCTTTGAGCATTTAATATTTATCTCACTGGTATAAATATACAGTTTAAAATACATTGTCGTGGGAGTTTGTTAATTTCTGTTTCCCTGCTGTTAAAAACATACATGGAATGTCTCGAATGTAAAATTAACATGTTTTTTACGGTCTTGGTGATTCACTTAATTGTCTGTTGCAGTCAGTCTCACGAATAATACGAAACCATCTCCTCTTCTTTGAAACACGGGTATCATGTGGCAGGCGCCTGAACACTGGTTTTATGCGATAGACGCTATGCACCCTCACTTATTAAAGGGATACGCCAAAAAAAATTATCTTTGTCTGTTTTAAAAGAACGTTATGATTATGTACAAAATTTGCTTATGGATTTTTGTTAATTTATTACTTCTCAAGATATTTTTGAATGAAATTATCTTCCATCCGCCATTTTGGATATGCGTGTTCTTGCTTTGATATGCATGACGTCACCAGCTGGGTAAAAATAAGTTCTGTAACTTCAAATAAACGATCCAGCAAAGTGACAGTTCCATGGTATTACAATCACACTTATCTCAAATTATGACGTTTGAATTGTAAGAGTTCTAAATTAAGCGTAAACATATGTAGTTGTTATTGATGCATGGCGGATATATCTCGATAGTCGATGTTTTTGATCGCCAATATCTTGCGAAGTAAGGAAGATAAACAAATTTTGTTAAAAGGCTCTATAAGAAGTGCAAATTTTCTTTTCAACAAAACATGCAGAAATAATTTTTATTTCTACATCCCTTTAATTATTTCCATATCCCTTTAAGTATAGGATTTGTAACCGTTATAATATGTTCCCGCTTATATCATTAAAAGAATTTGTAGGCAAACTGAAAAATCATACTATGTATCCTTATGGTGCTATTAAAAGTAGAACTGCAGCCATGATAATCTCGACACTGCTTATTTCCAGGTCCGATGAAAACCAACTCCTTGCATAAATAAAAGGGTATATATTTCCAAGTATATATTTGAGTATATTCTCAAGTAAATAATCGATAAAGAAGTGAGCATTTCATATTAGGTACAATTATATATTAGACTTGTGAATATCACTGAGGTATCATATCGCTTAGCCCTTACAAGCTGAACGATTTCTTACTTTAAAAATAGGAAAAGTGAATGAAACCTTACCTAAAATGTGCTTTTTAAGTTGTCCATGAACTGTAAATCTAAAATTTGCACCACAAACGGAATGCAAAATAACGGGTAATCCCCCTCTACGTATGTCAAAAATGTACCTGCACTTTAAGTACTTTCCCCAAAATATAAGGCGCGTGACAAGCTAGTCGAGATTTTCACTACAACGGCGAAGACTGGGTCAGGCTTCAGAGTATATCAAGAATTGCTGTAAAAGTGTTAATTTAGCGGTTATAAGACGTTAAAGCATTCTTGACTTGCTTGGATTAAGTTGTGTATGATTCCACCCGAAATTAAGTTGATGTTTGGGATCAATTGTATAGAGCCTAGTTCGAGGTAGCGCCCGCTGCGTCCTGAAATGCAGACGTTTTGTGCAGGACGTGAAAATCGGAGATTTGCAGTTGTATATAAACAGAACGTATACGGCGTCTAGAACTCCCACTATATTTAATTATTCATAAACTCCATATTAATTAATTATGAATTCCCTTTCAATGAGCCATTTTATTGATAGCCACCATCGTAGTGTAAAACAAAAGCATACAACTTTCCGCATGTTACACAGAGTTGCAAAGAGTTCCTCCGGTAGGATTTCAAGTTTTGAAAACCTTCCTCAAAATGACGTTACGTCACTGAGTCAAGTGGCAACCAGCATAAAGATATAAGAACACGTTTTCTCGCACACTATTGAGCGCCTGATAGTTAGGGTGTTAAGTGACAGTGCGGGTTAAAGTTAGAATATTTTTGTTGCGGCTTTTTCGGTTGCAACAGCGCCCATGCATCGGTGCAGACAGAAAGAACCGTGCAAGCAAAACAAAAATCGTTGCTAGGCCACAATGGCTAGGAAAATAATTGTTCTCAGATCAAATAATTATCGATATTTATCAGATGATTAGGCGGACGAATAAGCTCAATGTATGTATATTTCAAAGGTACAGCTACATGTTAGTATTAACTGCATTTAATCCATACGAAGAACGTCTCATTTGATTACGCTTCAGAAAATTTTGAGTTTGTCTAGCATCGTTATAGCTTGCTTGAATGTATAATGCATTTGTCCTAATTACGAACTTTATGCATTTTCCTGCCGGCGAAATTCCGAGAATTCGAAAGAAACACAGCCTCTTTTGATAGATTTAAGAAACCAAGGTTTTGTTCGTAAAGAAGGTTGTTGGGTTTTTACATTTGTTGTTATTCTAACACAAAAACTAGGGTGATTCTTACTTGGAATTCGCACTACATTCTTCGGCTATCGTTTCCCACATTGGGATTCGACAAATATCGCGTATAACATAATATCATACTGAACTTACCACTGCAGAATAGAAAACAGCCAGGTTATATCTCGCAAATATATCGAGGAATAACGAGACGGAATGAGTTTCCAACCGCACAATTGCAATTTACAAAGAATAAAGGTTATATTTTCTAAATAATTCTGATGAAGCTGTCGCATGTGGTTTTGAATCAAAACAAACGCACAGGTCACGCTTGGAAGAAGATTGGCGGAGACCGAAAAGCACCTGTATGTATACTAAGTGTCACTCGGTATATCCTCTGAACCGTTCTTCGTTTTGCACGAGTTTAGCGGAATAACGAAGAAAAAAACCTAAACAAAAGTTCGGTTTTCATTATAAATTTTTCTATTTGTCGATATATAAGGGTTGGAACGGTGAATTTTTATCAGCAACTTTTGAACAGCTTTTAATCAACTTTAAGCCCTTTTATTAAAATTTTACATTTTATTTAATGTGCAACAAGACAGGCATTTGAAGCCTATCTTGACGAATGTGTCATGGTAGATGGTTATGCTAAGAAGGTTAATACGTGAAAAATGATAGTATATACAACTATGGCGGAAAGAGATTGGGTTGGAGTTGGACAACCACGAAGCTAACGAATAAGTGCTTATCGCGAAATTTTACCAATTATCCGCTCATCTTGTTTCTGTGCATTGAAAATAATTAATTTAAAAAATCGGTTAAACTAAAGCAAAAACTACAATTCATCAGTTAGAAGATGGAGCAGAGAATCTTCTATTTATATATAGCCTGTGCGCTTTAATTTTTCTGTCATCAATCTCATCTCGGTGTCTAAGTCACCTTTTGCATTGAGTTGGTCGCCGTCCATCTGACGAGGATCTTCTGAAGAAATGGCATCCGTATCTTTTTTAAGGATTTTTCTTTTTACCAAGTCGGAAACTGAGCTCTCAGCCGCTGTAGTGACGACACTCAAATCTTGTGGAAAGGCAACTTGACCTTGCGTAAAGGGTCCCATGTAGTAAACTGGACAGGCCGAAGTAGCGTCGGTTGAAGGCACCAGAGAGTAGTTTTGTTTATCAATACAAGCTCCGTCCGGGCGATAATAATAGACTCCATCCCTCTTAACGACGCGAGGGTGTTCGGAATGGTTTTGTGCATTTTCCAAATCGTCAAATGGGACGAGAACTTCTTTGAGAAGGTTATGCTTCTTTAGGGATGTAGTCAAAGGCGATGAATCTTTATCAAAATCACTACACTGTCCCAGCGCGTCAATAACCAAGTCATGGGTGTTTTCCAAACATTGATTCCGTTCGGTCCACGAAATCTTGATTTGCTTGGACTCGGGTGTTTCAGTAATTGTGTACTGAGTACCGAGTTTTTGAATTTCAAGGAAGCCACCCTGCATGAGAGCCAGTATCTTCTCTGCATTTTGCACAGGAAAGGGCGCAAGTAACAAGTGCAACTCGGTTTTCACGTTTTCAAAACGTAGTCTATCTTCAGCAGTGAAATATGTCAGCAATTCATCAAAGATGGCGTAGGACTGGAAGAAGACATTCTGCAGAGGTAAAGGGATACCACTTTTTAGGCTCTCTTTCGCATCTTCTGTTTCTTTATTCAATCTTTCCTTGTAGTCGGTTTCTTGTAGGTACATATCAAGTTGGTTCACTGCTTCTTCAAGCAAGATATTTTCCCAGTCTTCAGGGAAATGTGGGTGCAAATGGGGAACTTCATCATAGATTTCTTTTTTCAGAAGAGACCAAAGTTCGTCTAACGGAAGTTGGCCGTTGTTGACTTGAATTATGGGCATTAGCTTTTCCGGTATTAATTGCTTATATGAAAAAATCTTATTGACGCCCACGCCCAATACCTGGGGAAGAATTGCTTTGCGACCATACATTATCATCTTGAATTGGTGCTCTCCCGGGTGAGGTAAAAAGACCAGTTTTCTCTGCTCTTCATTTCCAATTTGTTGAAAGTCACCCTTTGCTTTCCCCAAAGCTAGTGCGGCGTCAATAGCGGATAAAGAACATCCCAAAATCCCGATGCTTGTCTTCGACTGTGATCTCTCTTGCAACACGCGTGGTGGATAAACTGAAGGTATCCACGCTGAAAAATGTGGATAGCGATTGTAACTCCAGTGCCCCGTGGCGATGAAAAGAACGTGAGTAAAGACTTTACTTTCATCATCCAATTTGATTTCATAGCCAAGCTTTGAATCATGGTCAGCAGGCTGGACTGAAATGGCCTCTGTATGATTCCTCAAATCCACTTCAAAACCTTTACGTGTCAGCGCATCACAGAAGGAATTGAATCTATCTTGAAGGTACAAACCGACGATCTTTCTGGGAAATGGACGATACACCCAATCCGTGTTGCTCTGACTTTCCGGTACGCCAATCGAAGCACGGTACTCGCGAGTTAGCGACTTTAGCCATTCAATGAAATCGGATCTTTTAGACATGGGAATGTAGGTGGCAGTTATCTGGGTACAACCCCCTGCGATATTCATAATATATTCTGGTATGTTCATTTCCTCGGAGTAGGGTAATCCTGAACCAAGTTTTGCCATTCTTTCGACGACAAGTATACGAAATGATTCTGTGGTCTTTTGTAAAAGACTGAGCTGACCAAGCACAGCTGTACCAAAAGCACCTGCTCCAACAATCGTAATATCGTAATTTGAAGATGGATTTGTTTTATTCATTTTTAAGCCTTGTTTAATTGCTTCAAAGTTGCGTTGATTGTGCTTTGGAAGGAAAAAAACTTTGTCAAACTCGCCAATGCACAACGGGTGCAAAGTAATGATGTTTATTATAGGTTGTTTATTTGTTTGATGGGGTATTTTTCTCACGAAATACACAACAGACGTAACCAACCTGCCAAGAACCTTATTAGTTTTCACAGCAGGTTGGCTACTGTAGTCTTTTGTATATATTTTTCAGTGAAAAATACCGGATCAAACAAAAAAGCAACTTAATTAACACCAACAAGAATCGAGGAATTTCGTTTTAGACCAAGTGGCAAATTTTTTTACATTCCAGTAACCTAATCAGAATGCACAAATTTGAAATACTTCCAGTAGAAAGGTACATTATTCATTATTATTCACTATATTTATATTAAAAATTTATAGGCATTTGGCTTTGCCTGAAAAATGTAAACAAATTTGCCAAGTAGTTTAAAACGAAATTATTCGTATTTATTAACACCAAATCACTTTATAAGGTAATTGGACTTTTCAACTAAACTCTAAAGATGTCAATGGCGACTAATTTCGCATAACAGAACCTAAATATAAAACAAAAACCTGCGAACATATTATTTCCAGTATTAAAGACCGCGATTACACTAAACTTCCTTCACGATATTAGTTCTAGTAGTTCTCATTAGGAAGCAATGACAAATACTTTTATTAGCTGTAATATATAGTCGTTAAGGTATACCTATTCAATAATTTGCAACTTCGCGCAAACAACTAAAAATAATAGGTTATTTTAACCTATAGACTATATATTTGGATTGTTACATATTCGATGGTATTCAACCTTTTAGAGATAGATTATTTTAACCTTTCAGTTTTTACGGTGCATTAATTCGTATATCTCATTTGTGCCTGATTTACTAATTGTTGCATGGGGGCGATAGGAAAGGCCTTCTGTGCCTTTTGAGTCTTTACGGGGGAATATTTCTTAATATACGTAACACAACTATAGGTAAATTATATACCGTATAACCGCTATGAAAATCATGAAGGGCCTCACTGGTATAAACATGCACTGTCGTAGTTATTTAAGATGTTTAGGTATTAAACGCTAGTTTATTCTATGCATGAGAACATATATACACTTTGCCTAAAAGAATTACAATTGATGACGAGTTAAAGACGGTCAAGTTATCGATAACGCTGATATTGTTAAATATACATGCAGGTCGCGTTATTCGCATATATACTTACAATTTCGAAGCTGCTGTAATTGGCCACAAACTTTATTCTTCCAACCAGATTTGAGTTTGAAATTATAGTTGAATGAACTAGTATTGCTGCATAAACACTATAATAAACTATAATATACCTTTAAGCTAATTTAATGACGTTTATATGGCGTTCTTTCATTATATTAATATTGCGGAAATGATGTCATATCGATCATACCAAGAATCATTGAGAACTGAAAGTGAAAGTTTATATTGTGAACATTTTTAAAAGTGTTCTCATCATATATATATATATAAGGCTTATTTTACCTTAGACTCTATAGGCAGCGAATAAGAAAAGAAAGGTGACTAAAATAACGAAATATATATAGAATAACGACGTTCTTTTTAGAAAGAACGAGTTCGAAATATTAAAGGAAACTTGATAATAATAAACGGAGATTAGATTGTAATATATATAGCTAACTTAACATGCAGTAATTTCTGTATCACTGATGCCTGACGCGATTTTTACGAATGTTTCAGTTTTCAAAAGCCGCTAATTTTGACGATGTTAATATATTCTTGGTAATTACCGATTAATGGTACATTTTGACTGGTCTGGTACCCATATCTCGCAAAATGTTCTTTCAGAATTGAATTTATTCGTTTCTGCAAATAAAAAATACGCGTCGCGTTAGCGAATGGCGTCCTGTGTGTGTGGGCCTTAATTCGAGGTAGCGTGCGTTGCGTCAGTCCTGAAATGGAGAAGTTCTGTGCGAAACAGCCAGGTTATATCTCGCAAATATCGAGGAATAACGAGGCGGAATAAGTTTCCAACCGCACAATGGTTATAAAGGTTATATTTTCTAAATCTGATGAAGCTGTCGCATGTGGTTTTGAATCAAAACAAAAACAAACGCACACGTCACGATTGGAAGAATTGGCGGAGACTGAAAAGCACCTGCATGTATACTAAGTGTCACTCTGTATATCCTCTCGACCGTTCTTCGTTTTCCATGAGTGTAGCGGAATAACGAAGAAAAAAAACAAAACAAAAGTTCGGTTTTTATTATAAATTTTTCTATTTGGCTGGGTTGGTATACGCTGGATTTCCATCAGCATCTTTTGAGCAGCTTTTAATCAACTTTCACAAGCCTTTTATTAAAATTCTATTTCATTTAATGTGCAACAAGAAAGGCGTTTAAAAAATGAGAATCGCGGTTAAACTAAAGCAAAAAACACAAGTCATCAGTTAGAAGATGGAGTGGATTATTTGGGATAGAAGATAGACTGGATAATTTGGGATTGATTTGACAGTGGCGTAGCCAGCATCGATAATTGGGGGGGGGGCTATATTCATGCATATTTTCATGTTCTTCGTTATCAATTTCTTTTGAAATCTTCCTTTGCAGTCACTTAACATGAATATATGAATATTGGCATCCGCAATTATCGATGCTGGCTACGCCACTGATTATTTTTACTTCATACACAGTATCTTTTGTTAAAAACAATTTTTAAAAATAACGAAAATTTGACAAAAGTTTTTGATTTTACTATGATTTTTTTCTTTGTGACGATGCGGGATGTGCAAGGCCGAAATCTTGTCAGCAATTTAGAAGCAGCTTTTAACTAAATTTCTATTTTCAAAGCGACTGCGTATAGTTGGACAACCACACAGCTAATGAATAAGAGCTAATCGCAAAATTTTACAAAGCATCCACCTATCTCATGCCTCTGTTCATAGTTTACAAATAAGTTAAAAAAAATTGTTTAAACTAAATCAGCAACTACGAGTGTTTCGTTCGAAGATGGAACAATGAATCTTCTATCAACCTATCGTTTGTGTACCTTTAGTACTTCCGTCATTAATCTCATCTGGCCGTTTAGGTCACCCTTTGCATTAAGTACCCAGCCGTACATCGGAGAAGGATCTTCTGGAGAAAAGGTATTGATACTTTTCTCAAGGATTCCCCGTTTCACTAAGTCGGAAACTGAGCGCTCAGCTGCTGTAGTGACAACACTCAAATCCTGTGGAAATGCGACTTGACCTTGCGTAAGAGGACCCATGTAGTAAACTGGATAGGCTGAAGTAACATCTGTTGAAGGTACTAGGGAAAAACTACGTATATCAATAAGAGCACCATCCGGACGATAGAAATATCTACCATTTCTCTGAACAATTTGTGGATGTATGGAATGGTTTTGTGCATTTTTCGAATCGCCAAACGGGACGAGAACTTCTTGGAGAAGGTTATGCTTCTTTAGGGATTTTGTCAAAGGCGATGAATCTTTATCAAATCACCACATCATTGTTTTTGATTCTTCTCCCAGCGCATCAATAACCAAGTCAGGGTGTTTCCAAACATTGATTCTGTTCGGTCCACGAAATCTTGATTTGCTTGGTCTCGGGTGTTTCAGTAATCGTGTACTGAGTTCCCAGTTTTTGAATTTCAAGGAAGCCACTTTGCATAAGAGCCAGTATCTTCTCTGCATTTTGCACAGGAAAGGGCGCGATTAACAGATGCAACTCGGTTTTCACGTTTTCAAAACGCATTCTATCTTCAGCAGTGAAATAACTCAGCACCTCATCGAAGATGGCGTATGATTGGTAAAAGACGTTCTGCAGAAGTAAAGGGATGCCACTTTTTAGGCTCTCTTTCGCATCTTCTGTTTCTTTACTGAGTCTTTCCTTGTAATTCGTTTGCCGTAGGTACATGTTGAGCTTGTTCACTGCTTCTTCCAAAGAAATAGTTTCCCAGTCATCGGGAAAATACGGGTGCAAATGGGTAACTTCGTCATAGATTTCCTTCTTCAGAAGGGACCAAAACTCTTCTAAAGGAAGGAAACCGTTGTTTGCTGTGATTATTGGAATAAGCTTCTCCGGAATCAACTGCTTGTATGAGAAGATCTTATTGACGACCACTCCCATCACTTGAGGAAGAATTGCTTTGCGACCATACATTATCATTTTGAATTTTCCCTCTCCTTGGAAAGGCAAAAAGGTCAGTTTCTTTTCCTTCTCTTTGCCGACTCGCTGGAAAACACCTTTTGTCTTCCCCAAAGCTAGTGCGGCGTCAATAGCGGATAAAGAACATCCCAAAATCCCGATGCTTGTCTTCGACTGTGATCTCTCTTGCAACACGCGTGGTGGATAAACTGAAGGTATCCACGCTGAAAAATGTGGATAGCGATTCTGGCTCCAGTGCCCCGTGGCAATGAAAAGGGTGCAAGTAAAGACAGTACTTTCATCATCCAATGTGATTTCATAGCCAAGCTTTGAATCATGGTTAGCCGGCTTGATTGAAGTAGCCTCTGTAAGATTTCTCAAATCCACTTCAAAACCTTTACGTGTCAGCGTCTCGCAGAAGGATTTGAATCTATCTTGACGGTACAAACCGACGATATATCTGGGAAATGGACGATACACCCAATCTGTGTTGCTCTTACTTTCCGGTACGCCAATCGAAGCACGGCACTCTTGAGTTAACGACTGAAGCCATACAAGAAAATCGGATCTTTCAGACACAGGAATGTAGGTTGCGGTTATTTGAGTACAACCGGCTGCAATATTCACAATATGATCTGGAATTGTCATTTCCTTGGAGTAGGGTAACCCCGGACCAAATTTTTCCATTCCTTCTACGACAAGTATGCGAAACGATCCTGCGGCCTTCACTAAAAGACTAAGTTGACCAAGCACAGCTGTACCGAAAGCACCTGCTCCAACAATCGTAATATCGTAATTTGCAGATGCATTTGTTTTATTCATTTTTAAGCCTTGTTTAATTGCTTCAAGTTCCGTTGATTGTGCTTTGGAAG